GACAATGGAATTTGTGAAGTTCAATGAATTCCTGATATTGAATATTTAAGATTTTTCAAGTTGTATAAATGAGAGAAAAATCAATTTTTTCCATTATGTATTATACAGGTGAGGTTTAAAATACACAATAATATAGATAAGCATGCTTACTTGTAACAGCTCGTAAATAATGGCAACACTTAATCAAGCTTATGGTAAACATATGTCAAACATTTATCACAAACATTTATAGTTCTGTTCGGCAACAGTTGGGATGTAATGATATACAGAAGGAGGTAAAGTTGGGGGGCAGTATAATGACTACAGGAGTACCACTGGAGTGATAATTAAATGACTACAAGGGGTACAATTGGGGCATCAAAAATAACAACAAGGGGTACAATTGGGGTAACAAAAATGACAAAAAGGTTGCTTATTAATCATGTTAATTAAAGATTTTAAAGGGGTACAAATGGGCAATGATAGTGACTACAAGGGGCACAATTGGGGCATCAAAAATTACTACAAGGGGTACAATTGGGGTAACAAAAATTACTACAAGGGGTACAATTGGGGTAACAAAAACGACAAAACGGTTGCTTATTAATCATGTTAATTAAAGATTTTAAAGGGGTACAAATGGGCAATGATAGTGACTACAAGGGGCACAATTGGGGCATCAAAAATTACTACAAGGGGTACAATTGTGGTAACAAAAATTACTACAAGGGGTACAATGAGGACAATATAATTACTATAGTTTATTATGGGTACAACAGTGATATATGTATTGAACACAATTAATGGTATATCAATCTTATATTTGGGGTTTTAGATATGTAAATTTTATTAAAGAGCTTTTTGGGCACCGATACTGACATAAGTTAATCAGGGGGTCATTTGGGGTAATAATTATAACATAAATCTATAAGGAGTACAATGGTTGTAATATATTGGGTACAATTGGTAGAAATATATTGACCTCAATTAACAGGGGTATCGTTGGGGGTCATATATTGACCTTAGGTCAGGAGAGGTACATTGAGGGTAATATATATCAGGGGTACAGTTGCAGATAATGTGTTAATCTCAATCAGGGTACAATTGGGGGTAATATTGAGCCTCATTTCAACAGGAATAACACTGATGAAAATTTATTGCCATCAATCAGTTATGAAAAATGAAAAATATAAATATTTTATGACAAAATTTATTATGAAACAGGGTGAAGATTTACCACAATATGTTTTAACAACCTTCACCAACGATGATAAAATCTAACCTGTGAATATGAAATTAGAAAGCGATTTTTGTCTTTGATGGATCAGACAATGATAAAATCTATCCTGGGAATATGAAATTAGAAAGTGATTTTTGTCTTTGATGGATCAGATGATGATCAAATCTAACCTTGGAATATGAAATTAGAAAGTGAATTTTGTGTTTGATGAATCAGTTGTTATTTTGTAGAGATGACACATGTGTTTCATCCTTAGTAATGGTAATGCTAAAATATACATGAATCTATCTAACAAAATGGTTGCTTATTAATCATGCTAATTAAAGATTTTATTGACTTAATGAAGATATATGAAAATACATGAAACTTAAAATTTAAACAAAAAATCATTAATTGCTCACCTGAAACTTTGGAATATATATATATTGTGAATTAAAACTTCTGAACTCAGTCATTTGGTTTAAATAAGGAAGACATATTGAAAACTAATGAGTTTTACCACAGATGATAATATGTATGAGCTAATCTTCCTTAACATGGCTCTTTCAATAGTTTTTTCTTCTTTTTGCAGCACAGATTTGAAATTCCCCTTTTAGAATGTAATTTGAATAAAAAATTATATCACACACAAAAAACCTCCCTTCACTACATAGAAACCATGACCACAAAAAAAACCCTGACCACACCACTACAGAAACCTTGACTACAGAGAAGCCTTGACTACACTAAAACCTTGACTACACAGAAGCCTTGACTACACAGAAGCCTTGACTACACAAAAGCCTTGACTACACTGAAACCTTGACTACACAGAAGCCTTGACTACACTAAAACCTTGACTACACAGAAGCCTTGACTACACAGAAGCCTTGACTACACAAAAGCCTTGACTACACTGAAACCTTGACTACACAGAAGCCTTGACTACACTAAAACCTTGACTACACAGAAGCCTTGACTACACAGAAGCCTTGACTACACTAAAACCTTGACTACACAGATGCCTTGACTACACTAAAACCTTGACTACACAGAAGCCTTGACTACACTAAAACCTTCACAGAAGCCTTGACTACACTAAAACCTTGACTACACAGAAGCCTTGACTACACAAAACCTTGACTACACAGAAGCCTTGACTACACTAAAACCTTGACTATACAGAAGCCTTGACTACACTACCTTGACTACAAGACGCCTTGACTACACAGACGCCTTGACTACACAGAAGCCTTGACTACACAGAAGCCTTGACTACACAGAAGCCTTGACTACATTACAACTTTGATTACACAGAAGCCTTGACTACACTAAAACCTTGACTACACAGAAGCCTTGACTACACAGAAACCATGCCTTGACACAGAAGCCAAGCCTACACAGAAACCTTGACTACACAGAAGCCTTGACTACACTAAAACCTTGACTACACAGAAGCCTTGACTACACTAAAACCTTGACTACACAGAAGCCTTGACTACACAGAAACCTTGACTACACTAAAACCTTGACTACACAGAAGCCTTGACTACACTGAAACCTTGAATACACAGAAGCCTTGACTACACTAAAACCTTGACTACACTAAAACCTTGACTACACAGAAGCCTTGACTACACTAAAACCTTGACTACACAGAAGCCTTGACTACACTGAAACCTTGACTACACAGAAGCCTTGACTACACTGAAACCTTGAATACACAGAAGCCTTGACTACACAGAAACCTTGACTACACTAAAACCTTGACTACACTAAAACCTTGACTACACAGAAGCCTTGACTACACTAAAACCTTGACTACACAGAAGCCTTGACTACACTGAAACCTTGAATACACAGAAGCCTTGACTACACAGAAACCTTGACTACACTAAAACCTTGACTACACAGAAGCCTTGACTACACTAAAACCTTGACTACACAGAAGCCTTGACTACACTAAAACCTTGACTACACAGAAGCCTTGACTACACAGAAACCTTGACTACACTAAAACCTTGACTACACAGAAGCCTTGACTACACTGAAACCTTGAATACACAGAAGCCTTGACTACACAGAAACCTTGACTACACTAAAACCTTGACTACACTAAAACCTTGACTACACAGAAGCCTTGACTACACTAAAACCTTGACTACACTAAAACCTTGACTACACAGACGCCTTGACTACACTAAAACCTTGAATACACAGAAGCCTTGACTACACAGAAGCCTTGACTACACAGAAGCCTTGACTACACTAAAACCTTGACTACACAGAAGCCTTGACTACACAGAAGCCTTGACTACACTAAAACCTTGACTACACTAAAACCTTGACTACACAGAAGCCTTGACTACACTAAAACCTTGACTACACAGAAGCCTTGACTACACTAAAACTTTGACTACACAGAAGCCTTGACTACACAGAAGCCTTGACTACACTAAAACCTTGACTACACAGAAGCCTTGACTACACAGAAGCCTTGACTACACAGAGGCCTTGACTACACTAAAACCTTGACTACATTAAAACCTTGACTACACAGAAGCCTTGACTACACTAAAACCTTGACTACACAGAAGCCTTGACTACACTAAAACCTTGACTACACAGAAGCCTTGACTACACTAAAACCTTGACTACACAGAAGCCTTGACTACACAGAAGCCTTGACTACACTAAAACCTTGACTACACTAAAACCTTGACTACACAGAAGCCTTGACTACACAGAAGCCTTGACTACACTAAAACCTTGACTACACAGAAGCCTTGACTACACAGAAGCCTTGACTACACTAAAACCTTGACTACACAGAAGCCTTAAATCAAAAATCAAAGTTGGACTTTCGTCTACAGAATAATTTGTAAAAATCTGAAATAGAATTGGACTTCTACCTGAAAAGCTATGCTTAAAAAACTGGAGAAAAGATGAATTACTACATACAGAATCTGTGGTAAAGAACCTGAAATTAAACTGCCTACAGAAGCTATGGTAAGGAAACTGAAATAGAACTGAAGTTCTGCCTATTGAATCTGTGCTAAAGAAACTAAAATAAAAAGTTCTCTCAGGGTATTTTTTTTCAAACATTCAACTGGAATTCGGAAAATGTCCCCAATATTGATTTTCAGTTGATTGTGTGAAAATTTCAATTAGAATTCTTAAGTTCAACAGAAATAACCTGTATATCAATATTATACAATACAAACCAAGCTCAGTTAAGGAGTAAATAATCAAAAAATGAAATAACAGAACAATGGACAATTAGGGTAACACAACATGCCCTGACTATAAAATGACAAGGGTATAAAAGGAAGATTAAAAACAGAAAATACGAGACTGCTAATGATGATTTTTCAGAATCACAAGCCCTGATCTTAAGACAGCGAGATTTTCTCTTAATCAGTAACTTTTAGTTTTAGGACTTTGATTGACAAGAATATGACGGTAGGTGGTCATGTTTCATAAAGCACTCTAATGTTGAAATCTTAAGATTTGTGCTCTGTATTACTAAAACATGATTTGTTGTACAGAAAATTTCTTTGTTTTCTTTTGGCAGCTATAGGACAATCACAAAAATCAAATCACACAGATAAGTCTTCATTTTATGTACATAGATAAATGATTTCCACAGAAGTTTTTAAGACTTGAAATTACGTCTCAGGTTTAAACCCTGAAAAAACAACCCACTAAAATTTTATATTAACAAGTAAGTCACATGAGCTTTCCTTCACATTTGGATGCATAGAAAAAAAACAATTACATATGTAAGAAACTGTAAACTCACCTGTCGTCATTCATGGTGACATAATTACGCTGCATTTCTATAGAATTCTGTGTGACCTGTAAATTTTCTCCGCGAGACATCATACGTTCTATGCGTTTATTTCGACAAGAGTTCATACTTTTTCTAACAGTTCGCATCAGAAATTGTGACAGCAAGCCCACTGACCAGTTCTCCGGTATAGACTGGATTACCTACAACAAGCAGATGACAGTGGGTAATGTACACTGTAGGTTTCCAGGTACAAAGGGAGACAAGAAAAATTATCTATAGTGAAAAATGAAGCATTTTAAGTTAGTTTCAAGAAAGGGCAAAAAAAAATTTAGCAATCACTAACCATACCAACATTTGTTTATCGTGTTTATTGCAACAAATATTTAGCACTTTCGTTTTGTTTGTTTGTAGTAATTAGTAGATAACTGTGCAGGAGGCAAATCAAGTGATCTAGAGGAGAAACAACTAAGACAGCAAATGATGATTTTAATATGATTTATGAGAAACACAGACAATACATCACTTATGGTGTCTACCTTTACTGTATCAAACTCTGATACAGGGACCAAGGTGTGTAACACTGATGGTGTCTATCTTTACTGTATCAAACTCTGATACAGGGACCAGGGTGTGTAACACTTATGGTGTCTACCTTTACTGTATCAAACTCTGATACAGGGACCAAGGTGTGTAACACTGATGGTGTCTATCTTTACTGTATCAAACTCTGATACAGGGACCAGGGTGTGTAACACTGACGGTGCCTACCTTTACTGTATCAAGTTCTGATACAGGGACCTGGGTGTGTAACACTGATGGTGCCTATCTTTACTGTATCAAACTCTGATACACTGACTGGGTGTGTAACACTGACGGTGCCTACCTTTACTGTATCAAACTCTGATAGGTTGCTGTTGAGAAGAGTTACAGCTGGATGTACCAGGGAATCTCTTTGTCTGGAAAAAAATGGTATAATAAAACAGGGATAACATGTTCCAGGGTGACCTTCACACACATGGGAATATGGATTAATGGCAGGGAAATGATACAGGATTTGTTAGCATTACTGCTGAAACTGTCAAAGCCTTGATGGGGATATTACAAAGAGAATTAAAACTAATTACTTATAAAACAGTGTGATTGGGGAAAATTTCCAGAAATCCTGCATCATAACGATTGTAACAGTATAGGAGGTATTGTAAGGAGATGAATTCTGATATTTTTAAAAATTTATTTTGGCAAGTGATAGAAAGTCTCATAGATAGAGTTCATACCAAACAGAAAGAGCTGATCAGCATAATATGGTGAGTGAATTTTAAAAAATGAATTTGGTTTGGAGCTTTATCTACAAATTAAAGTATAACACCTTTTGTATGAAACTTCAAAATAAAAACTGTGTCTTCAAACTTTTCTTAGTTCACTACAGATTAACAAATGAAAATGTACACTCTCTTATTATCTTAAGAGAAAACTCACTTAACAGCAAACTATCCTAAGTTTAGTATTAACTCTTTTCAGTTCACAGTAAAATTTCTCGAGTTTACAGTTAACTCTCTTAAGTTCACAGCAAACTCTCAAAAGTGTACAGTAAGCTCTCAAAAGTGTACAGTAAGCTCTCAAAAGTGTACAGTAAGCTCTCAAAAGTGTACAGTAAACTCTTCAAAGTTCACAGTAAACTCTCTTAAGTTCGCAGTTAACACTCTTATCTGTAAGTACATCATTAAATCTGATAAGTTAAAGACAGATTTTTTATAAATTTCATTATTTTCTTATAAAATTTCATCAATTTTAAAACTCACTCATAGGACGGGTCAAGGTAAACACTCAGCAGTATATGAAACAGCCTCTTTCTCACACTGGGATCTTTGCCCTGAGAGTTGACAAGGCAATAGTTTTCAGCGGCCCCATAATCCTTCAGTTTGTGCACCAGTATACGTAAAGCTTTATCATGTTCCTCTAGCTGTTAAGAAAATATTCATATCTATATCTTCCAATACTCTGTACAGGTCAAAAGTATATGAACATACACTAAAATCATATATTTTGTGCATTTTTTAGAAACTTATTTTGGGTCCACTTAAATTTGAGGAAAGTAATTACTCATAAAATCTTCAAATACAATAAATCCATGTCATATTTTCAACAATTTATTAATTGGTGGACACCTGAGATTTTTGGATTAAAAATGTCGGTAAAATTAACAAAAAATAAACAATTCCATAAAACTGGTCAAAAGTATGTACAATCATAGCACAAAAATGAGATACACAGGCTGACTTGAATGATATATTAAGTGAGTGAGTAAGGAGTGATTGATTTTCATTTTTCTTTAGTATTTCTTAGTTATGTAGACACATCTATCTTTCTCCTTACAAAAACAGAAATGCACCTGTAAATTGTGGAAGAAAAAAATATTTGAAAATTTCACAACTGATGCAGCTATACTGACCAAATGTCCACAGTCAATGGATTTTCCACTGACCTATACCCACTACTTACTTTTCCATACAGTATAGCACATTCAGCAAACATGTCCGTTTGTTTGACCTTTCCGAGAATGAGTTGTACACGATATAAATTAGACATCTGCAGAATGTGACGTAGCTTTGACCTGAAATACATTTTAAAAAGTTAAAAAACATTTTCTCCAGGACACATACTACAAAAGACTTTATTTTTACTGCACTTTTACTACCTTAAAAGTGTAGCTGACACCACCCAACAATAAAATTACCATCCTAATCAACTTTACAACACAGTGCATATGAACATTTGCCATTTGTCTGACAATGACTTTGATGGCCCCTTGTTTTTTAATGAACTTTTCAAATACATGTAATAATTTAATATTAAGTCATTGGATATACGTCACATTCTTAATTTCAATGTATTAGCTCACTGTGCCATCAAAGTTTTAGGAAAGAAAATTCTAAGGTATAGTTTCACTTACCTGGCGATATCCAGCTTTTCCTTTTTGACACTGTTCTCCTTCATAAGCTGCAGGACTGCATCAAGATACAGCACAGCAAGGTGTGTATGATATTTCTCCTTCTACAAACAAAAAAATAAATAGGAATGCATCTTGTGTGCAAGGTATAGAGCTGTTTTTGAAATAATAAAGGTAATACAATTTGAATTGGAATAAGGTAAAATTCTACAGGAGTGAGAGTTATGTTGTGTTTAGATTTTTGGTTTGTTTATTTTGTTTTACTTTCTCTGTTGTGTGTTTGTGTGTGTCTTGAAAAACACTGTTTACTGTGCTAGGAAATGACTGATATTGTAATTGCATCTTAGTCAAGAAAATAATTGAAATTCACCATTTGGTTGGAAATATGAACATAACTGTAAGACTTGAAGTGTATGTGTATATGTGTGTACATGTATTTCATATTCTGGAATATGACAAGTGTGAATGATGTGTGTAAGTATGAGAGACCTCCTGTGTAAGGACATGTATGTAAGGTCATGTATGTCTTGGACAATAAAATGTTTGCAGAAAAAAAGGAATTTCTCTCTGAAATCATACGTTTTGAGAAAAATACAAAATTTTACATATAGGATCAAATAATGCCGCTCTTCCTGAAATTAAGTTTCAAATTTTTTTTTAAAAAACTGAAGTTGTTCTGACCTCTAATTTCTTTTGAAAGACTAGATGTTCTAGATAAGTGATGACAGCCTCTGGGAACCTGTGTAAGTAGTCAATCACTGCTTCAGGTCGTAAACGTTCTGACGGGGGCTCCTTAGGCGGCCGTTCCGTAAACACCTGTAACACCACAACAGATTCTGTAATCAAATCTATCAGTAGGTTTATATAGCAATCTGGCTCTTTCTTATTACTCTGAACATATTTCTGACATTCTATATATGTACTGTGTAACGATGAATTTTGTGTGAAGACAATCTGTGAAGGCACCCTAGCAAAACAAGTTCGATATTTTCTATTTTCTTTTTTTTGAAATACATCAATAGAATAAAGCACCATTATTATTAAATGTTTCACTGACCAACTTGATGAATTGCCCTCCATTGTCTGTTATACCAACACACTTTGGTCAACATAACGGTTACCAGCTTGTAAGAAAGGGTGCAACTCATAATCCAGTGCAGCTTATATGTGAATCAAATATAAAAAAAAATCTGTAAAAATTGGCTCTGCGACTAATATACCAGTGCAGTTTATAACCCAGAAAATATTATACTTTTTCCTCAATTGAGAAACCTTGACCAGCACAGACAACAAACCTCGACCCCTTGTTGTGAAACATTAACCAGCACAAATAACGAACCTTGACCCCTAACTGTAAAACCTTGACCTGTACAAAAAAAAAACAACAAACAAACAAACCTTGACCCCTAGTTGTAAATCCCTGACCAGTACAGAAAACAAACCTTGAACCCTAGTTGTGAAATCATGACTTGTACAGGCAACAAACCTTAACATCTAGATGAGAAACCTTGACCAGTACAGACAACAAACTTTGGCCCCTAGTTGTGAAACCTTGACCAGTACAGAATACAAACCTTGACACCTAGTTGTGAAACTTTGACTTGTACAGGTAACAAACCTTTTCACCTAGTTGAGAAACCTTGACCAGTAAAGACAACAAACCTTGACCCCTAGTTGTGAAACTTTGACTTGTACAGGTAACAATCCTTGACACCTAGTTGAGAAACCTTGACCAGTACAACAAATCATGACCCATCCTGTGAATCCTTGATCTGTAAAAATACTTTTACACTTAGTTGTGAAACCTTGACCAATACAGGTAACAAATCTTGACCCTTGTGAATTGTGAATTCTTGACCTGTATATAGTACAGACTATGTCCTTAAATCTCTAGTTGTAAATTATTGACCAGTACACATACCTTGACCCCTAGTTGTGCATCCTTGACCAGTATTGTATCAACATACTTCCATACCAACTCATGGTCACTAAGGCTACAATAAACAAAAGATTTTTTTTCATACATTCCTAAACAGATCAAAGTGGGACAGAACATTATCCCATATCTATCCCACAATAAGCCAATTTCTGGTAATAAGCCCATGCCTGTTAATAAGCCCACACATATATAATGCTTTCAGTAGAATTCAGATCAATTTCCTAAAACAAACCCACTCCAGCAATTCTAAGCTGGATTTTGTTTGTTGGTCCCCTGGGCTTAGTGTGGGATAAACAACAATCATGAAACATCATTAAGGAAAAATAGGATAACCAAAGAGGATGTCCTGGCCTACACCTTGACTTCATAAAAATCTAATTTTTTTTGTCTTAGAAATATTGAATCTATCTAAATCTTTACATCTATCAGTAGTTCTTATGCCCTTTTGATGAAACAGAAAAAAAATTGTACTGTAATTTTCAGGATACAAGTTGTATTTCTAAAATAAATCCTTTAGCAATTTTCAGTAAAACTTACTTTGCTAGGAACTCTGCGACAAACTCCACGCCCGGGAAAGTTTCGTCTTTGATTTCCTCATTGACAAGCCTAAAAGGATGGTATTCAATAAATTTGAAAAGTTTCATGCCATGATATAAACCCTACCACTTATAAGTGACATTGATTTGGACGTAAATGTCATTGCACATGTGATCATTATATCATTAACAACAAATTTTTATTTCAACTTTTATCAAATAAGAATCTAGTACACAAGCAGCAATGTTAAGGAAATGTAATTGTAACAAATTAACACTGTTTTCTGCAAAGCTGTGTCATTCATACCACATATTAATACCATAAGAAAATAGTGCAATGGCAATTAATTGTACACTTTATATTCTGGACAATTTAAATTCTAAGTTTCTCTTCTTTTGGAAACATTCATTTACGATTTTCTTTATATCCTCTATCTTTACTCAGACTGATAATCAAATCAAATGATTTATATTGAACATGCTCTGCCCATTACAAAAAATTAAATCAGACAAAGACTTGAAAGTTATTTTGTGTGGGACATCTTAAACTCTAGGCATCTACTTGGAAACTAACCTCATCCATACAGCGAGGGCTTTATCGTTTTCTTTGTGAACCTTGTACAGGAGTGCTAGAGCATGGTGCCTCTCATATTTCTCTAGACAATCAACACAATCCTTCAGGTCACAACCAGTATCCACGGCAATAAGGGGAACTAACTCTGGTGAATTCACTTCAGCATACAGTTTCAGTAAAGCAACATCTATCTCCTAAAAATAATAAAACAATATGTTTATACTTTTCAGATTATAAATGGAAAACTTTAGATGAAAATCATAAAACAATATTTTTAAACATATACTTTTAAGATTATACATGGAAAAAATTAGATATGTATTGTCAAATTACTGTTAAGCCTCTTTTTTTGATTTTTTGCAGGGATGAATTTTTACTATAAACCATGGGGATTTATAAGACCACGAAGATTTAACTTGTGAAGTAATAAGAAATAAGACACTTATTAATTCACATTCTCAGTGAATACTTAAGTACCTGATACAACTCCCCCCAAATCTAAAGACTTATTTGGTCAGTTACAATTAATTTAGATAAATTAAATGGTATATGATACAGATTATTCTTTACATGGTACAGAATTTGTGAATTCTGTTCTAGTAAAACATCTATCCCATCCCAGGACTCCAAGTTTTGTTTAAGGTTGTTCGAGTAACAATTATCTCAGCCCAGGACTTAAGATTTTGTTTAAGGCTATTCCATTATCACATCTACACCATCCCTTGAATCCACATTTTGATTAGGGGTTTTTAATATTTTAATATTAATCATTTGCCTAGAAGTAATATTCAGGAAATTGAAGCACAGATTTATTTTGAAGGTCAGTCCTGAAGAGATTCTATTCTGTTACAACCTCAAGAAAATTGCAATCAGGAAATTCATGCTGTATGGTAAAAATATTTTGCAAAAATAACACAAAACATTCTATTTACAGCAAATGTCTATAAAACATGGTGGATCTACTCCTTTACAAACCATAATATGATCAGGGGTAAAACTTGATGTCATGATACTATGGGGTAAATATCAACAAATTCTGTAAACAGAGAGCAGAGAGGTTCTCATGATATTACACCGATTTGAAACGGGACAGGATGGACATTGACAACAACAAGTCACCCCCACCCAACTCCCCTCTATAAACTAGCAGATACATATGAATCAAGACAAAGTTTTCATTCGACTGAAATATCAAATTATAGGAGAGTTCAATCAATGGAATACTGGTATGAATGAAAAGGAAAATACATGGAAACCCTTTAAGTATCTGACAGGCAAATTTTTTATTCAGACAATATTTTTTTTCTATTGACACAATTTTATAAAATTGTTTATTTTTGAAAGATGTCGAAACAGTATTTTTACATATAATAATGTTCTATGATATTCATGACATAATCTTATCATTAGGCAAAAAATTTTAGTTCATATGTTACAAAGGAAATTCAGTTCCCTTAACCTGCTTAAAACCGACTGCATCCTTTGTGCCTCGTAAATCCTCTAGATATAGTCGGAGAAAATTACGATATTCCTTCATAATGGCTTCATCTCCACGACTCAGCTGGTTCACATCAGCGATCTCATGGAGAGGTGGCACTGACCTTGTAAAGTTACAGTTGGACGGCAAGAGTCGTGGATATAGACTTAGCACCTGGTAACAAAGATTCGAATACTTACAAACCCAAAATCTCTTAAAAAAATTGTTCAGTTGTCTCCCCTTGCAGTTTTACAGAGAGTTTGTCAGTCCTTTTATAATCCTACTACCACATATATCTCAAATACCCACTAACGATGGGAATCAAATCCAGGGTCATAATGAAATACACGTAATCCATTTCAAACATCAAATGCAAAATAGCTTTCTGATTTCTTCTAGTATTGAAAATATTGTTAACCTTTGAAATCACTGTATTACCTGATTTGATCATGCTACCAGTTATATATACTAGCACTGATAACAGCCTTTAAAGGCTGCTAGTTGTAAATTACCTCTAAATGAGCAACTTTACATAAGGAATCACTCTTGATTTACACATTTCAGGGTCATTCCTTAACTGTAGTGATTAACTGTCTCTGAGATATTGGCATCAATTAATTTGTTTCCTTACATTTATTGATTCATTTATGACCATTTAGAATTTTCAGCCTATCAATCATGTCTAATTATCATATCTCCACATTTAATCTACATAACTTCATGTTTTGAATTAAGCCTAACCTCACCTTTAGATATCAAATTTATACCAAAATAGGAAAATAAATCCACCTTAAAAAAATAACAATTTTGAAAATTCGAGGTTTCTAAATCCCCAGAACTAAAAATCATATGAAATATCTAGTTTACCCAATTCTGTGTGATATCAACATCTGGTGCCTTACCTCACGAACATCTACTTTTCCTTCTTTAAACAACTCCCTAGCCTCCTCAAAGTGTTGCTGAGAAAACTCTATAAACGCTGCTTGTTGTTCAAATCGTCTGAATATCTAATAAATAAGAAAGACGGATAAAAAATAAATTTTGTTTAATTTTAAATAATAGTTTTCCTACCTCATGAATGGTTTAATGTCATGTGATCCCTGATGTGAAGGCCCTATAAACAAGTAATGCAAAAAAAGCTGAGCGACAGATTATTTCTAAAAATTACATGGCATAATGGAAAGTGCTTCGTCAACCTTGACACTTCTTGACTACAGAAACGGCAAATGGTAGGTTTGTAATTCTTACACACAATGAAAACCATGCTATTCTCAATGGCACAGAGTCTAATAACACCAAGTGCAATATGTAAATCTTACAAGTGATGTCACAACAGAAAAATGTACACATTGTAAATCTTACAACTGTTATCACACACACAGACAACAAGATTATAAAAATGACAACCAATAAAATTTTAAAAAATAAAAATTGTCAGTAGTTAATATTTGGGATACAACACATTTTTTCTGAAAACACAAATCATTTCTGTATATTCCGAACCTGTCTACTTTCAATTGTTCACTGCAGCTGACCACACAATATATATTGTCATAGATGTCCCATACAGATTAACCTCCATGCACCTACACTCCAATACAACTATCCAGGGGTGTAAATTGCTGTTTATACCTTGTTGAATTTATCCTTACTAAGGCCCACACGGTTGGCATTGCGTGCCAGATCTAAGGCCTCGGATACTCGCTTGTCTGCCAGTAACGCTTGAACCTACAGTAAAGAAATGTCATTTATAGATTTTACCATCAATTACCATGGTACATACAAGACATCTAATACTCTAGTGCAGTGTAATATGAAATCATCATAGTTCTATTTTTTATTGTTGAACCCCCAACACATCATTTCAAAGGTGAACATTTTTAAGGACACTTCAACGTTACACACATCACTCATCTGTAGACATATTAGTTACTTTTTACTTTTGTTGTTTATCTATGGACACAAGAATGAAAAAAATTTCTATACAAAGATTACATCCAGTTATACAATATAAATCTTGTATCACATACAGTTACATGTAAAGGTAAGAGTTACAAGTCACCTTACCAGCCTCGGCTATTGGAAATTTCCCTTACATGTGGAGATGGTGGAGTTACGAGTCACCTTCTAGTCTGGGCTATTGGAAAATTCCTTTACATGTGTAGATGGTGGAGTTATGAGTCACCTTCTAGTCTGGGCTATTGGAAAATTCCCTTACATGTGTAGATGGTGGAGTTATGAGTCACCTTACCAGCCTCGGCTATTGGAAATTTCCCTTACATGTGGAGATGGTGGAGTTATGAGTCACCTTCTAGTCTGGGCTATTGGAAAATTCCCTTACATGTGTAGATGGTGGAGTTATGAGTCACCTTCTAGTCTGGGCTATTGGAAAATTCCCTTACATGTGTAGATGGTGGAGTTACGAGTCACCTTCTAGCCTGGGCTATTGGAAAATTCCCTTACATGTGTAGATGGTGGAGTTACGAGTCACCTTCTAGCCTAAACTATTGGAAATTTCCCTTACAGTTACATGTGATAGAGTGTCTGGTTAGGAACTGAAAAGCCGTTAGTATGAGCCCAAACAGAACAGTGTGTCTTTGCTCCTTTCTATTACACTGGTATATGGATACACTAAATCCACATATTCATATGTCTATGAAATAATAAACATACCCCATCTGACAAGGCTGAGAACCACCATTAATATGAAATTGATTCCCCATCACCAAAAAACATCCTGGTATTCCTACTGAAGAAGAAGGATTTTAAAGAATTTTATTGATTTCCCCTCTTGGGCCTCACCCTGCCCACTCCAGGAGGATGACACCCACTGCTTATACAAATCTGATTCTTCACTCAAGGATGGTCCAGACCAAATTAGGTTAAAATCCACTCAGTTGTTCTTGACTATTAGTAATTTATAGGGAAAGTGTACAGACGCAGCATGGATAGGTGCCAGGTGAGCTAACAAAACAACAGTTTAACACAACAAAATTTAACAATCTTACCTGTTTTTCCCATGCTACAGGCACCAGTGAGTAGATTTCTCTTTGAGAAGCTACAAACATTTTCCCATCAAAATTTCCTATGAAGGATCCTCCTTGGAAAGGAATTGCTTGTTTCTGCTGTTGGTCAAGTATACTAAAAACAAACAACTAATCTTATTAAGTATTAAATCTATCAACATAAACAAATCATTTATCTTGTAATAAGTCCATTAGGTCAATGTATAACCTCTAACTCAAAAGTCTGGGGGTGGGCTTATTACAGGACAATATTGCAGAGGACCATCACGTAAACTCTAACTTAAAGCCAGGGGTCGGCCTATTACAGGGCAATGATATAAAGCATTTGTTACAGATTCTACTGTGTAGCTTATTACAAGACACTATATATAGCACTTGTTTATCATTACTACTGAACAGCAACAGATATCGATGAGCTTATTACTGGAAAATGCAATCACATTTGTTGGTAATTCTACTGTATCGTTGGGCTTAGTTGGTCATTTGAATAAACAGCAACTGGGCGGGCTTGTTACAGGACATTGATATATAGCATTTGTTGGTAAATCCTCGCCATAGAAACAGGTATCGCTGGGCTGATTGCAAGGCATGGGCTTATTGCCAATTAATATTGTAGGAACACAATTTGTTTGATTTTAACCTGGACAATCTTGTTTGAACCTCACCGGCTATCTCATTAGTAAAATAGAAACAGCTAACCAAATAGACAATCTGACCCCGTGTAGGATAAAACAAGTATTGTAAAAACATTTACTGTAATGGGGTATGGATTTTCATTCAATCATATATCAACAAATCACAAATCAGATCACTATAAGGTCACGCTAAAGAAAATCTTGGAATAATTTATTACGATAAGATTAAACTGGGAGTTAGAATGACAAAATGTACATTCTTGAGAGGATTTAAACAAATCAAACTAAAATGTAATTCCACATGACCTTCACCTTTTTCAATGACATTGACCTTTCACTTTTGCCTGATTTTCTTTACCTTGACATGATTTTTAACTTTTTCTGATGACCTTGACCTCTGTCTTGTGACCTTACCTGTGTATTGTGATGAACTCATCATTAAGGGCTATAATGTAGGGATGGATGTAGCTCACTCCCTGTAGATTCTCTGACCATTGTAGTGGAGGCCGCTGTGATATACCAGCTGATGTCACAAACATTCCCAGGGCACTCGGGCCACTCAAAAGGAACTCTTCCTGTTAGCGTAAGGCAATCAAACAGTTAGAAATGTGAAAATTATGATGCTTTCTCTGATTTGGATATCAAAATTAAGGTATTTGGGGAAACTTGGTGTAGTTCAACTTTGGACTGTTTCACTATTTTACCGATTGTAGGAAAATGATTTGACACCAGTGAAACATGTAACATTGTGGAAATATACATGTATCATATTAGTTAACCCCTTAACAAGTGATCTTGACGAAAAGCAGTGATTTTTTAAACTGAATAACAGCAGCCAGTGCCTGTTTAAATAAGGAAAATATGGTGATGTGTGTGAAGACATTCTTGATTTTTTTTATTATTTTGGGAAAAAAGCAAAGTTTTTGGCTAGGAAAAACCTGGTCTTTTCAGCATTAAATTGAAAGCTGAAACTGAAAAATTTTGTACTTTAAACAAGAAATTTGCAATATTAAACATAAAGGATGTATATTTTCAAACATTTATTTTATCTTAAAAAATTTTCTTTAAAATTACAACATTCTACAATACTTACAACTTGTTCCTTATTTTACATGTTTATATACACCTGTGCAATGCTTCATTCACCAAGTCGTTACCACCAAACTCTCTTTACCTGTCAGAAAATCCTTGTGGTATTTAGCCATACTTTACTTACCTTACTGATGCGTCTGATGAGAGGTTTGCTGTTTTCACTGTCGAAGGGAAAGAGATCCTGTAGGTGTCCAGACTCATAATTAACCATACAGTACTGGCTCATTGTAGCAACACAGATGTAACTTCCATCCACACCCTGAAATGTGGTCCAAAAGTTACCTTAAAAGCTTTCTACTTTTATAAAGACAGTTTTCATTAAACAGTTCAACCAGTTAGATCAGAGTTATTCGTTCACGAATAAAAGGATGAACCTATTAATTTTTGTTTTGCTTTCCAATAAGCCTTGACTATGCCTTTCTAGGCCTGTATCAATATGTGCAGGTCTGTCCCTACTTCTGCCCCAAATTTTTATATATAATGAGTCAACAAAGTAATTTGCCTTCATAAATTAAGAGGCCATAGAAGTTCAGAATGCCTGATTTCATGTTGTGGTCTCTTCATCAGGATGTGGTACAATGATCACGAAATAAATTGAGGATCTAATCAAAACAATTCAACAGCTTTTGTTAAGTACTGTTAACAAAAATGAACTAATTTGAATTGTAAACATTTAAGAAAAATGTGTGATTTCATAGAATCTGAGTTTAATGTTGATTAATCTATTTACATCATAAAGATCTTGCTGATGTTCGAAAAAAGTAGTCTCAAAAATATTTTCCTCATAAAAGAAAGTTCTCATTCATCATGACTTTATTGTCCTGTAATAAGCCCACCCCCGAGTACCAGGTAATGGAATAACATGCTAATTTGAAAAACCTCCTTTATAATGTCAAAATTCATTAGATGGTAGATATATCGTGAATGTTACTGGTTGATTTTCTCACCAAGGATACGGCGGGCTCCGACAAGGAGATGTCCTTCACATGAATAAGTCTATCCTCAGTGGCTGTGTAATACTGTATCTGTTTCTTCTTCAGTGCTACACAGATCTATAAAAAAAAACCAGATTCTTTGATAATTACTCTTTCACACACTAAGACTTAACTCTACCAATCTCACATACAGATCTACAAACAGGTCTCTTGGTCCCACTTTATAAATTCCTTCTCATTGAACCTCAGCATCCTAGAACTGTTATCCATTGAATATCCGACAGTCATAAAACTAATTGTTATCCCTGTATCTTAGATATTCATAGTATTTTTACCCTATATTTGTCAGAGGTGTCACACTCACCAAAATTTACCTGTATCACATGTCCCTAGGTTAAACTTCAGTACACTTACTCTCAGCTGTATATAAAGATGTCCAACAGGACAGCAGATAATTATGGGATTAACGGTGGCCTAATTTTATACCTACACTAACATCTGCTATTTGCTTTATCGGGACATTTCATATAAATTAAATAAACGAAAGACTGTAGAAAAAATCACTGTTCAAACAGAAGTTTTAGTATAAAACAAATATACAGTATTAGCAGGAGGGCATAGATGTATTAGCCAACACATGTTTTCCACATACTTTTACCATTTTTTTTAAAAACAGATGAGGTTAATTTATAACATGATGTACAATAAGAACAAGGAATTAACGTTTTAATTGAAATTTAACATCATTCTACTGCTATTCTCAGCGACATGCTATATGCATGTTATATTTTGCGGTAAACCAAAGTTGCTTTGAATGAACAATTTTACACATTTCTAGCTCCTCAGTAAATTCTGATTACTTCAAAGCATGGAGTTTGTGAATAGATGGACTTGGGTCCAACATGGATGATTGCTACCTTCTAGTCTGTGATCATCCTCCGATTACCGAATACCCTGTACTCCTCAAACTACTGACATGAATCAAGGAGTTTCACTAAGCAGGGCTTTACTATATTTTATAACTTAATGAGCACTACCAGGTTCCCCAAAGAAAATAAATGTCAACTTAACTTTACCTTAGGACTCAACATGTGAACAAAACAGTGATGATCTTAGGTATATAAAGGGCAATAACTCTTTCAAATGGACACCAACCTCTACACTGAAAGGACTCCCACGAACTGGAGTTTCGTTCAAACAGAAACATGTCACTCCTTTCACCTTGGCTCCACTCATGATTGGCTGAAATAAAAATAAGTTCATATAAGAGATTCTATTAAAGCTTCTGTTGAAAAATATCTTATTTATGAAAAGTCTTTCTTAAAAACCATATATATTTCTTTTATCTTGTCTGCTTAACAAAACATAAATAAACATAATTCAATTTTGAAATTATTTTTAAAATCTTTCCAGCCTACCAGGGATTTTTGGATTATGAAATGTTTTGTTCACAGAAATGATGAGACCTGGAAAAAAAATCTGCATTTCTGGTAACATGTTTTCAAAAACAGAGTAGGTCAGTAGCTTCCTTTCTTTTTTATATAAGGGTTATATAGATGGATTATATACATTTGTACTTGTTTGAAAATGATCTACAAAAGTAAACAAATCAATTTCCATACTTCATCTGACAAGTGACAAAATGTCCAGGGCCTGTTAATAGGCCAAAATGTATCTTTTGAATTTTCAGTAAAAATGCCAACAAATCTCATAGTTCTGTAATATTGCCCATTGAACAGTCAGGAACATTTTGAGAGGGGTGGGTGGGGTGTCTCCTTATATTAGATCGTGGCTATCTCACTGCACAACATAGAAAGTGCCCATCACATGCTGTATCCAGTGCTATTACAGTAAAGTGTCTTGTCTAGAGACACAACCACAACAACAAAGGCCAATCTGTTTGTATCTTTTGGTAAATGATGGCCCCATGGGCTTTTGCTGGATAAATATGGTCATTTTAGATCCAACCACACTAGATTAAATAAGATAAATTAAAACCCAACTTACCTCTAAATCAAACATATTGAGTAGAGTTAGAGTATTATCACATAGGACTAGGATTCTGTTTAAAGCTGATGCTGCCTTAAGTTGAGAAACTGGCTTTTTCTACAACAAATCAAATATATTTTATAAAATATACAATACATTTAAAAATATCAATTTCACCTGTACTTGACATAAGACAATTTCAAATGCCACAAACTGTTACCATCACAGTGTTTTTTTAATTTGTTTTTTGAAAATGAGAATAGAATTTCACAATAGTGTGGTTAAAGTCAGTAACATACATCATTATCTGTCAAAGTAAAAGCCCTTTCCCTAGAGATACATGCATTTTAAACAATATACAGTCATACATGTATCAATTCTTGCTAGAAAAATTTACTGTAATTTCCCATCATTATGGTCTCCATTGTTATGTTTAAGTGTGTGATGCCATTCCATTATCTGAAGCTGACATCATGTGTAATATACCAAATAAGACATTGATTATTCAGTGAACAGCAGCGCAATTAAGTGATTAAAAAAATACACAGACAGACAGGGAGAGACATTGACAGACCGGCAGAGGCACAGACAGATCAGTAGAGACACAGACAGTCAGGCAGAGACACAGACAGACTGGCAGAGACACAGACAGACAGAGTTATAGACAGACAAGGAGAGACATAGACCGGCAGAGGCACAGACAGATCAGTAGAGACACAGACAGTCAGGCAGAGACACAGACAGACTGGCAGAGACACAGACAGACAGAGTTACAGACAGACAGGGAGAGACATAGACAGACCGGCAGAGGCACAGGCAGATCAGTAGAGACACAGACAGTCAGGCAGAGACACAGACAGACTGGCAGAGACACAGACAGACAGAGTTACAGACAGGGAGAGACATAGACAGTCAGGCAGAGACACAGATAGACTGGCAGAGTCACAGACAGATCAGTAGAAACACAGACAGACAGGGAGAGACACAGACAGATCAGTAGAGACACAGACAGTCAGACAGAGACACAGACAGACTGGCAGAGTCACAGACAGATCTGTAGAGACACAGACAGACAGGGAGAGACATAGACAGATCAGCAGAGTCACAGACCAATAATGACAGAGTGTGTAATTTGCACAAGTATCTTTTCGAGTTGAAAATGCTGAAAATATGCTTCTACTTACTTAACATGTCAGACTAACATTATACAAATTGAAAAAAAAGTACCTCTTCAAAATTCATTTTCATCTCAATCATTTACTTTTAATTACTTTGTTCTCTTCAATTATAAATTCAACAGCAGACACAACTTCAGGTCCCAACTCTCCATCGCAAGTAATGGTACATGGAGCAGGAAATGTATGCATATGTATTTGTCAAAGAACAATGGTTTTCAACTACACAATAGATATACCTCCTTCAACTACATGGAGGTAAGATAAGAGAAATTCATATAGCGATTATTCAGAAAAAACTGATCATAATCAATTAGATGACCTCAGAAGAGATTGATTCCCATTACTGATAATAAGTATGGGGATTAATGGTCAAGATCTGACTGGTGTACTTACCAAAGCCAGGTATTTATGTCCCAATTTTTCATTATGAAATACAACTTTGCCGCTAGATGACTGGCGCTCTTCTATCATGTAATGTACCACAAAACTGAAAGAGGAATACAAAAATTACACACCATGTACTACATACAGAATGATTCTGAAAAGATTTTTCAAAGTTGATGGACTGGGTGGTGTAAAAGGGCAGGTGGAGAATGTCATGTGATAAGCCCACCAACTCCAGGATGTGGAGTCATTACTAATGTGTTGCACCTGGGCTTATTGCAAAACAGCTAAAATATGATCTCTGACACTGATAAGGAATCAGTTTTATAACATGGAAATGATAGTGCATTTGATGGAATTTGAAATGAAAATGAAACAAATCTGACAGTGTTTATTACTTACCAGAAATGAACTTAATTCAGGACAAATAAGGTCAAAGTGGATTAGTATTTATATACTTACCAGTCATTAGTTCCAATGTACAAGTTTTTTCCACAGAAATCAATACATTCAATCTGCAAGGGAGAAAAATTGAGTAAAAATCATGTTTAAGATAACAACACATCATAATTCAAAGATGTTCATATAATGACTAATTCAAAATATGAGAAATGTATTTCTGACCAGATACTATTAGCACTATATACTGTACCTAGTATGGAAATTGTATACATGTACCTGATTTTTAAAGATTTCAGTAATTAGTCATCAACTTGACATACTTACTAAGACTAAGATACAAAAGTGAATTAACAAAACAGTGTTTGTAGGTAAATTTTGAAGGAGAGGAGGTGAATTTTACGTTATAGCAAAAATTAAAGATTAATAGTGGGTAGATCATTCCTGAACATGTAAACTGGAAATACAATACAAATTTATATACATATATCCTCAAAAGTTCTTGTAACATAATAAATAACACAAAAATAAATTTATATGAGAACATTTTCTAAGTCAGATTATCCAAAGAGGAAAAAAACACTCTGGGATAAATTCAAATCTTTATTTATCTACATATACATATGTAATATTTACATATACATATGTAATATTATTGGCATTGACATTGGTGCCTCACGATAAGTAGCCATGATTGCGAAATGTGCCGACAATCAAACTGTCATGATGTGGGCAATCAAGCAAAATCTTCAGGACACTATCTTCCTCGTTGAATTTTCCTCCAACATTCAAAACAACCTCTCCAATGATATATCTACAGAGCATATTGTAAAACTTGTAAATGAATTAAAAATAAAGATGAATTCATTCCACCTGATGCTAAATTCTCATCACTTTGGGATGATTTGGTTTATTGCTACTTTACTCCCTATTAACAGTCAGGGTCATTGAAGGATGTGCCAGGTTTGGGTGGTTGAGGAAAGCCAGAGTTCCTAGAGAAAACCACCAACCTAGTAGTCAGTACCTGGTGACTGCCTAATACAGACCTTGAACTCATGACACAGAAATGATGGGCTAGTGATAAAGACATTCAGGTGCCTTACTACTCAGTCACCACATCCCTGCACTGCAGGATAAGTTGAAAACAAGTTTCAATGATAAAAACAGGAAAGGCTAACAGTAGACATAAAATGGAGCCTTAAAAGCTTCATGTGTGTCTAAACTGATTCTGTTAGGTGGCTGGGCAAATGATATATAGGGTGTTTGAATCATGAATTCAGTAAATCGGAATCTGTTTATAAAGGGATGCAAGAACCAAAAATTGCAAAGACGAAATTCAACCAAGTCACCGGAAATGATGTCTTATGACAAAACCATTCGTTTTACCAAATTGCTAGATTCGTTGTCCATTTTTTTCGATGATCACGTCATGATCGCGACCACATAAGGCTCAGTTGACTACATTTGCCCTATATACGTGTAGTCAGATTTGACTACATAGCCAAATCTGCCTATATAGCTAGATTACCGATGCTCCAGTGTCTGGCATGATTAAAACACCCGTTATGATCAGTCTTCCCCAGCAACAACACCAATAACGACTCTTCAAATACATTCTCCAGTTGATGGATACTACTTAAAATCGCCCAGCGCTCCGCTTTACGTACTACCTAGTGATATTCAAAACATTTATTTTATGTATGCTTATAATTTACTGTTGTAGTTTGGCATTTCAAGTGACAGATATGCAAACATGTACCTGTGTCTTTGCTTTATCGGACATCAGCTTGATCCGCTCGATCGCGGGGACCAACTCGAACGCTTTGACACTCATTTTTCTGCATTACATGTACTAGATTAAATGCAAAATCGTGCTAAATTGTGACACCTATACCGTTCCCGAGAATTTTTACAGGGCAGCGCCATTTTGAAAACAGCACCCTCACTCACTTCCGGTAGCTCCCACCCACTTCGTTTCAGTAACCGTAACTCTTTCATTGACAAATACGAAACATTTGCACATATCGTAAGTGTAAACTTTGACTTTGAATAAGATAGTTATCAAATCTAATAGATAACTATTATCAAATACGTATTCAAGACAATCATATTTTATAACAATTTAAAGATTTTTTTATACGAACGTTGATATCTGACAGCGGATTTTTCATCAAACAGGATTCTACATAAGTTGTAATTCTTTACTGTCTTCAACACAGTGTACATTCTATAATTAACCAAGCTCGTGAGTCTATCCTAAAATTCAAGGAATAAATCACCACAGTTGATAATTCATCTATCTATTTTGTTTATTGAAATATGTAACGGCTTCACGGTACAATTTTTACTCATTAGACAAGCGTATCTTTTCAGGAGAAACAAGCTTTACTAAGTGTGATAAAAACGATTTCCACAGCATTACAAAAATATCTAAGCAAAATTTAAAACATTCAGATGTATTAGATATTGTTTTGCCTTGTCTATAACAACCTAGATATTTCACAATAACGACATGACAATGACAAAAGTGTCATTTTCGTGTTATCATGACAATACATACAAAGTATAAGGAACTTAAAGCATGTTCTGGCTAGGTAACTTTGACTCAGTTTCCAACAGACTGGTTGTGATAGTTGCGAGTGCAAGAAAACATATTCGGATTTTTCCCCTCCCGAAGTTGTACAATTTAATATTTGATCATCGGAGCGTCACGGTGTTGGACCGACCGCCGGGAACTGAAAAAACGTTTGGAACTTTCACGTGTTATTGGTTTGAACTGAAGTTCTGTCATGCTTATCCGAATCTATGTTAAAGAATCTGAAACTTCAGAATCTATGGTAAAAAATTATCTGAAGTAAAACTGAAGTAATTCCTGCAAAATTCCATTGGAATGCGGCAAGGTTCTCAAATATCGGTCTCGCCGTTTTCGTGAGTTTCCCTAAAATTCTTAAAGTTAAATGGCCGTAACTCCAGAAAAAATAATTGACCACCAAATAAGAATTTGACCTGTATATCCAAACGTCACATTTCTATAACACATTTCTATATTCGTATCCGCTAAAGTGTACCAAACTCGGGTACAATTGAACTTGTGCCCTGTCCGGGACTCGAACCCACAATCTACGACACCAAATTGCTTAGCAAAGAAATTCCAAACTGCCAGATAAACAAACAAACCAAAATCTCTTCATTCGTCAATTGTATTACAATGTCCAAAATATTATTAATATGTAAAATTGAAAAAACACGTTTAGCTTTTTTAGCATACAATACCAGCTTCCGAGATGGAAACACATTTCATTATTTTTCTGTTTATGTCACGGCAATAATTTTTTTTAAAGTTTCTACATACATATATATATATAACAAACAATATCGTATATTTTATATACCGTATCGTATAATGTGTAATTTTTATTTACAATCGCCTGGAGATGGCCGCTAGACCTAAACCGCTAGCGAAACTACCGTGATGATTCCTCTTTTTCATCATTATAATTATTATTATATGTAGAGAGAAATAATAAAATTTGAAGCACTTCCATACCTAACCTGCAGACGCTTTACAATTAGTGTTGTAAGTGTTGTAGGCCTACGTGTATATGTTATCGTCATGCAAATGTACAATGATTGTCTGAAGCTCTATGAAAATTTTATACATTTAAATGCAACAGTTTTCTGGCATTGTTGCTACCGTTCAGAGGTAGAAATCACGGAGTACAGTTTTGTTGTTATTAAAATGCATATTTTGTAATATATAAACCATAAACTTTTATAATTGCAAGAACTCGAAAAATTGAAACAAATTTAAACGAATAGGTGCTATGTTATTTGCTTAAATTCTATGTAGAATTAGGGGTAGTCCGTATGCCCTGATTGTAGCCCTGAACTGACGGTAAAAATTAGAGTCTGATCGACTGTCAAAAATTGGTGCTTCTTTGTTTGTTGTTTGTTTTTCCTAGGACCTCATGGAAGAGAACTAACTTAACGTTATCTCTTCATTTCGGTGTACATATTTTTTCGCGGAAAATACACTGTTTAAATGATAATTAAATAAACAAAAAAAAAACCTACAGAACAAACTAACTAGATGTAACTATTGATTTGAGCTTATCTGGACATCCTCCATGGACCCTTACATGTACTGTAATTGATTATTGTAACGCTTTTGTGAACGTTTTCAGATTTTTCTAAACATTCAATCAATGAAACATTTGTTCGAGCAAATATGGTACGATTCCCTAGCACACATTAGTATTTTAGACATTCTTACACTGATAATGTAACATTCATTGAACGAATTTAGCCAGATATTGCTGTTGAACACATATTCTTATTTTCAATAAAGTTTTTGTACATTCTTACTGTGTCCACATAAAATCAAACATCTTTTGAGTTCACTTTTCGGTGGGGTTTTGTATTCCGTGACTAGTTATGCCTTGTTCACACATGAACCATCCAAAGGTCACCCACAGATCAATAGCGCATCACTCATAGTACACCAACGATCACCCAGATTAACCAAAGATCCTCCCCCACCCCCCCCGCATCCTCCGGCAACGAAAAAGGAGAGGGGCCGGATAAAGGAAGGAATATACATAATATATATATTGGAATTACCCTGGCTGCCTTTCGTTCGCAAATCCTTGTTCGGACAACAACTGGACCGATTTTAATTAGAATACACCAGAATGTTAAATATCATGTCTAGACGTGTATGCAGGTCTACAGGTTGCCATGGTCACAACACAGTTTTTTGTATAATGTTAAATCAATGTTGGTTAAATAATGTAACTTATGAAAACCTATCATTTGACAAATCAGATGTGTCTCCAGAACCGTTACTATGGAAACACAATAGAGGCTAATTGATATAATTAGGGTTTTGAAAAACAGAAAATACACTGACACTACCTCCCAAATATGTCATTTGGTTGTCATAATGACCAGGTCACTATACACAGGTTGAGACACTGTCAAATTACAATGAAAATTAAATTAATAGAGGCTTTGAAGAATTGTTATTACAATGCTTATATTTCTTAATCCTTGGCTCCAGGTGGAAACCGCACTATCACTTATTTGAATAAGGATAGTGGAATTTCACCTGGGGCAGAGGATATTGTTTTCCAAAACATCTTATGTCATTTGGTTGCAATGGTAACCGGGTCACTATACACAGGTAGAGGTATTGTCTGATTTTGCTGAAAATTAATATAATTGGGGTTTTGAAGAATGGAACTTGCAATGATATCATTTCTCAAAACATCCCATGTCATTTGGTTGCCATGGTAACCAGGTCACAATACACAGGATTTTGTGTAATGACCCATAAATTATCAGTCCTCATATCAATTTAATTGAAACTCGGTAAAAAAAAAGAAGCTTCTGGTTAGTCAAAATGTAGATATTGTCTGATTATGTTAATAATAGGTATGCTAGGGTTTTTAAGAATTGTGACTCTTAACCTTGTAAGTTTTAAAGGTATTCAATGAAGAATCTTCCATCCAGTACTTCTCCAAAAATAGCTTTATCCACTGAAAGGCCATATTAGTGGTAAAAAACCTGTTTAATAAATTACTAATAAAAAAGAAATAGTGAAAACCAACTAATACTGTCATAAGCCTAAATAAACTCGGGTGAAGATCCGAGGCATATGGTTTGACCACTGTTTGTGGTGGTCTGTATTTCTCATTAAGCCGACACCACACATCATATCCTGATATGGCTGTGTCCTTGGGCAAGACACTTAACTACAATGGCAATTGATTGCATGAAATGGGGCTTCCTTATTCTATTCTGTGAGGAAGACACAAAATGACCATTGTTGTTATCAAACCTACTAAATAAGAACAACACTCTATAAAATTTTCACAATTTATTATTTAACAATTTTTCTCGGTAATAAACTGCCTCACACACACATATTTCTGAAAGCATTTCTGCCACATCTGGTAGGAAATCCTTATGATATCACTTTCAAAACAACACTGTTTAGCAAGCAATTTATTTGAGTTTCAGTATCTCAAGTGCTTATATTTACTCAGCCGACATAACAGGTAAACTATCAGCAATGAAAAATTTTCATTAACAAAACAAAAGGCTAAACTTGCCAATACTACTCATCTGATATACAGTGTTTTTCACAAATATATAACATCATAATCATTGACATTCAAAATAGGTGTCTATCAATTCTATTTCAACAAACTGAAGGTATTGTGCTTGCAATACAAAGATGTCTACAACTGATGGAACATGTTGTGGACAATGTCTGTTAGCACAATTTATGGACATCCAACATAACAAGGATTTTAAAGAATTTGCTGTATTTCCACTATGTGGCCCTGCCCCACCTACCCTGGTTGACCAGAACCCATTGTTCAAACAAAATTGATCCCCTTGTCCCAAGCATGTCTAAAACCAACTTTGGACAAAAACCCAAGCATTCCTACATGAGAAAAATTAATGATTCTAAAGAATCTGCCCTATTTCCCTTGCTTGGTCCTACCCCTCCCGCCCCAAACCGCTGAATCCTCAAGTTTATTTAAAACTGATTCCTTTTTGTCAAACAATGCTTCAGGTCCAATATTGGCAAAATCCAATCATTTCTATAGGAGTAGGATTTTAAGGAGTATGCTCTATTTCTAATATTGGGCCCTGCCCCTCTGGCTGTTTATACCAAACTAGTTTCCCTTCACTGCAGCATGCCTCAGACCAACTTTGGGCATTATTCTGCAATTCTTAAAGAAAAAGAAAACTAAAGAAACTGGTAAATTTTCCCATTGGGCCCTGATCCTCTGGACTCAGAGGGGCACAGGCCCACTTTTTATAAACAACTGACTTCCCTACATCTAAGCATGACTTGAACAAAATCTGGATAGTGCCCTGCAATTCCTGGAGAACAAGATAGATATTAGAGAAATTAATAGATTTTACTTATTGGGCCCCCCCTCACCCAGATCCTTTGTTTACCAAACACTGGTTGTCTTTCCCAAAGGATACGTCAGACCAAATTTTATTAAAATCCACTAAGTCATTTATAACTAGCTGTGATTTATAGGAAAAGTTGACAGACGATGGACACTGCAGTATCTCTATAGCTCACTTAGCCATTTGAGCCAGGTGGGCTAAATATGAAATTTCTGTATAAGGTATTTTCTCTTTGGTGCTGAAAGTTCATCTTGTGGTATATTGAAGAAACTCAGCCTCAAGAAACATACTGTGTAACATAAAAGCAACAAAGGGCAAATGTTTGATACTTAATCATCAAGACATATTTACATAGCTATTGTCATGTGAGAAAAACAATATGTTGTCTTCCACATCATATAATGAATAATGGCATATCAAACAGCATCTTAACTTGAATAATTTCACAAAATTATGCTAACTGTACAATAAAAACAAAGGTGGAAGTGAAAGAAAAAAGTATTTTCTATCACTGTGTTAATGCTATCGGTAACTGTCCCTTCTGTCACACTACAGGTAACTGCCTCACTGTGTTAACACTACTGGTACCTGTGTCACTGTGTTGACACAACAGGTAACTGTCTTGTTGTGTTGACGCTTAAGGTAGCGGTCTTATTTGGGTTAACACTACCAATAACTGTGTCACTCTGTTGACACTACAGATTTCTGCCTCACTTTGTTGACACTATAGGTAAATGTCCCACTTTGTTGACACTACAGGTAAATGCCCCACTGTGTTGACCATAGAGATAGCTGTCTCACTGTGTTGACACTACAGGTAACTGTTCCACTGTGTTGACACAACAGGTAACTGGTCCACTGTGTTGACACAACAGGTAAATGTCCCACTGTGTTGACACAACAGGTAAATGTCCCACTGTGTTGACACAACAGGTAACTGTTCCACTGTGTTGACACTACAGGTAACTGTCCCACTGTGTTGACCATATAGATAAATGTCCCACTGTGTTGAACCTATAGATAACTGTCCAACTTTGTTGACACAACAGGTAAATGTCCCACTGTGTTGACACTACAGGTAACTGTCCCACTGTGTTGACCATATAGATAAATGTCCCACTGTGTTGAACCTATAGATAACTGTCCAACTTTGTTGACACAACAGGTAAATGTCCCACTGTGTTGACACTACAGGTAAATGTCTCACTGTGTTGACCCTATAGATAACTGTCCCACTTTGTTGACACTACATCATATTATCTTCAAAGGTTTTAGTGTCAAAAGCATCTTCCATTTTTGCTTTTCTTTGTAAAACAATGAGTTCATCTGCAAAATCAGAAAGTGAGAAAACATTATAACAAGAGGCCCATGGGCCTTAACGGTCATCTGACAAAAAGCAAGCCAAACCTAGAAAGTGGGTTGAGGTCATTCATTTGAACAAACTTGGTAGCCTCTCCTCCAAGCATCTTACAGGCCCAATATCAGCACTCATGGACTTTTGCTTGTTGAGAAGAAGTCATTTGTATATTTTAACATATTTGACCCCTGTGACCTTGAAAGTGGGCCAAGGTCATTCATTTGAACAAACTTTGTAGGGCTCCATGCCAGCATGCTATGGGCCAAGTATTAGCCCCCTAGGCCTTCTAGTATTTGAGAAGAAGTTATTTAAAGATTTTGACATATTTGACCCCTGTGACCTTGAAAGTTGTTCAAGGTCATTCATTTAAACAAACTTGATAGCCCTTCATCCCAGCATGCTACAGGCCTTATTTTAGTTGCCTGGGCCTTTTGATTACTGAGAAGAAGTCCTTTGAAGATTTAAAGACATTTGACCCCTGTGACCTTGAATGAAGGTCAAGGTCATTCATTTGAACAAACTTGGTAGGGTTTCATCAAAGCAAGCTACAGGCTAAATATTAGTTGCCTGGGCCCTCCAGTTATTGAGAAGAAGTCGTTTGAAGATTTTAAGACATTTGACCCCTGTGACCTTGAATGAAGGTCAAGGTCATTCTTTTTAACAAACTTGGTAGGGCTTCATCAAAGCAAGCTACAGGCCAAATATTAGTTGCCTGGGCCTTCCAATTATTGAGAAGAAGTCGTTTGAATGAAAAGTTTACGGACGGCGCACGGCGCACGACGACGGACGAAGCATGATGACTATAGGTCATCGGACCCTTCGGGTCAGATGACCTAAAAAGTTCTTGTTACTGGTGAATAATATATTTCAATATCATTATATATACATCCGGCATATGTAATTACAAGAGGACCAGAGTGCCTATATTCCTCACTTGTACATTAAACAATCCTGGTAAAACATCTGTTTATTTTCTTCTAATACAGCATTACCTCTATTTTGCCCAATCCCTTAGCCCCAATGGAATGTGTGTTTGTGTACATATCCTCCATTTCTACAAAAGTTTAGAACCATTTGCCCATGAATGCTACAGACCAAATATATTGTGAAGGGTCACATCTTCCAGTTATGCAAAACCTTTTTTCCTTTGTGTCAAGAAGTTTAAAACCAAACTTGGTAAAAAAAAATCCTCTGTTGGTTTACATGTATTTCCTCTGTTGACCCCCAAAGCGCCCCTGTGCTTCCATTGGGGCCACATTCTCTGTTTAAACCAAATTGAAACCTGATGGCCTAAGGGTGCTGTAGACTAATTTGGGAAAAAACCCTTTCATACCTAAGGATGACCTTTAGACCTTGAAAATTCAATGTAACTTTTGTTTGCAAACTTTGTTCAACTCCATTTATGGAAACCACCAATTCAATATCATATTTCAGTGGGAGGTGTTTGATGGTTTTGCCATATCTGACCCCTATGATCAAATCAAGGTCAGTTTATATATAGCATAGCTGTTCTCGCCTATTTCTTTCATGCTGGCTGCTACTAGTAGTTGAACTTGTGACATCACAGCTGATAGGGTGCCAATCAGTGTGGGTCACCCACTTGCTGATTAGAAGTAGAAGGGCAAGCAAAATTGTACACTTTACACATCAATATCTCAGTATGGGCCGGCCGAGTTTGATGCAGTTTTCAACATTTTGGATTTTGAATCATAAAAATGATTCTAGATCTTTATTCCTACTTTCACCGAGGGTACACTTTAAGACAGAAAATTTGTAACACATTCAAGTTAAGAAGTTTTATAACGCTCACCAGGAAAGAGAGATATTTTGTAATACTTACCAATTATGAGAGAGATTTTGTATTACTCAATAGTTAAGAGATGTTTTGTAACATTTACCAGTTAAGAAAGTTTTGTAAAAATTACCAGTTACGAGAGAGGCTTTGTAATACTTACCAGTTATGAGAGAAATTTTATATTTTGTAATTCTTACCAGTTATGAGAGAGGTTTTGTAATACTCAATAGTTAAGAGAGAGGTTTTGTAACATTTACCAGTTAAGAAAGTTTTGTAAAAATTAGCAGTGAAGAGAGAGGTTTTGTAACACTAACCAGTTAGAGAGAAGTTTTGTAACAATTACCAGTTTTATAAAACTTACCAATCAATATATTGATTGTCTGTCGTTTTTGTCCTTCCTTATCTATCCAATCATCATTATCAAGCTTTCCCTCGATATAAACACGTGACCTTCAAATGAAAAATTCAATTTATTAGGAATGAGACACTTTTTATCAATTAAAAACCAGCACTTTTTTTAAATAAAGATGTTTTGACATTTAGACCAATTCTGAACCAAAAGCCCTGCTTTGTCTTGGTGTACAAATGCAAAACGTATCTTATATATATCTAATAAATGTATCATGGTAACACGGATATGTGTTTACTGTGGATGAACTCGACCTCATGATTCCTATCATGAATAATAGCCTTCTTCTGCCTATAGTGATTCTTTCTTTACTCTACAAAGGCTTGACATGCCATATAGAGACAAAATCATTTACTAATCAATACACACATTTTGTAAATTATGTTGACACCAAACTGTTCATCCACTTACTTTTCATTTGACCATTCTGGTTCCTAATATCATATCAATATAAAAAATTACCTTGAATCTTAGTCAAGTGAATTCTGATTGATCAATTTTGCTTGATAATGTTGTAAGAAAAATATTGAGTTTACCACTTAAGAGACAGAAAATGTGACCTTTATTTCAACCAATGACAGCCACCTTTGTATGACCTTTATTGGTTCTCTGTAAGTCAGAATTTCCCACAATATGAAAAAGAGTGATCAACTTGAATGATCAAAATGGGAGATGATCATCTGTTTATAATTTTTTTTTTGCATGACAAAAACAGAAAGAAACCTAGACAGGAAATCTGAAAATAAATATTCCATCACATAGGTCTCGTGAAAATGTGACAATGTCAGAATCTATGAACTATAAGTTCAGTCAAAATCAAAGATGGCTGTCTGTCAGACATTTTGCTTTTCTGGTCTCATTTTCAAAATTGAAGGGCAAATTTAATGACCAAGACCAAACTACATCTATTATGGGATAAATCCACCATTTATACAAATTTGGTTCCCACTTTCCCCAAGGATGCTTTAGACCAAATTTGATTGAAATCTGTTCAGTCGTTCATGAATAGTTGCATTATATAGTAAAAGTTGACATGCCAGATGACGGATGATGGACGGACAACAGGGTATCCCTATAGCTCACTTGGAACTTTGGTCAGGTGAGCTAACAATTGATAGAATATCCTCACTAGGCCCTGGGACTGGTATTCCACTTACCCCTTCCCGACATCTTGCAGCTTCATTGAAATGGTGGGTTTCAATGACTTAATGTTATGCCAAGTTGTCCTTTGCTTTGTTTCATCTGAAGAGTGATAACATTTTCATTAATAATCATTTAATGTAAAGGTTGCTACTTCCACTTCTGAAGATTGAGTATAATACATACTTCTGAATTATTTCATTAACACAAATTAAATGTTTCATGAGTTGTTTGAAATGCAAAGCCAGTACTTGCAGGCATTCTGGTATACCCTATTACTATATTTTCAGGCCTTCATAGTAACTGCCTCTGTTTACAAGCTACCAGGTCACATAACACCTTGCTGTCACAAGTGACTTAGTTGCGAGGAAAGTGGGTCTTCCTTTGTATGAAAGTAATTGTCATCATATGATGCCTTTTTTTACTTTTACTTTTACTTTTAATATGCTTTCAAAACAGGAAACATCTCAAAGTGAAATTTCTTGATGTCAAAACATTCTGAGACAGAACTCCCTGTCCATGTAAGGTGGTTAGAACATTGAAATAACACATCATTGATCTATATTTGTGTAATCTGACAATTGAATGTGACATCAGCTGACAGAAAGCACATGTGTACCAGATTTGTAGGTATCCTTATGAACAACTACAGTATGAGAATGATCTAAACCTGTGATTGATTTTCAAAAACAACAAGAAAATACTAACATGTACACATAATCAAAGTCTAATCTCGAATTCAATATAACTAGGGCAAAATATGATGTAGGAAAGATTTACACAGAGACTGACTCCTGGAAAAGTACAAGGCCCATAGAGACTAACCATCACCTGAATGTAACAGAGTATCTTAAATTTTCGGTTCCTCTTTTTTTGCGGTATATACCTTCATTACAAGAAAAATAAATGCGACTATCCTCAGGACGAGATGGTGGTCTAGTGTCTTCATTTAATTTTGTATTCAAACTGTCAAGAACAGTGGCTTATATTTTAATGATAGAGAGATGGGTTGGGATTTGGGTTGGGAACTGAAAGAAATTTGTAGACAATATTAAAATGCTGAAAAGAACAAACGGCAACAAGTTGCTGAAATATTGTTGAATCAACATGTTATTCAGGAGAACACAATATCATATTGTAGTTTCCAAGCCTACAAAGTTTCAAACAAATTGGGGAAGGAGATAGACATCTTGAGAAGATGAAAATACAATTTAAACAAAGTGCAATAAACCTTTAAAAAATCACAAAGCAAATGTGAAAAACACTATTTCATGTGATGATTATGAAGTCAGCCAAGATTCAGTAAAAAATACTGTCAAACTGAGGGAAGAGATCTGTATACAGAATGCTATAACAAAAGGAGGCTTAGCTGCCTTGATGGTCACCTGAGATACGCAATATTGAATAAGAAGGTTAAAGGATAGTTATCAAGTGTCAAGATGTTGCTCATCAGCCAAAGTAGGTCAGCCAGGATCAATATGGACATATCATCAAGCTGTAATCTTTCACTCAGAATTGTAACCAAGTTTGAAATATTTCCACTGGAAATTAAACAAATTATGCACAAAAATCTGTTTTTCATACATAAACTACAGTAAACTTTACCCCATCCCCACAGGGAAATGTGAGATCCTGGGGCCATGAAATTCACAACCTTTGGTAAAGCACTTTAAGATGCTTCCATTCATGAATAGTATTTGATTCTACCATATCTGAATGATGAAGATTTTTAAAATCCAAGTCAATTTCACCCCGTTTGGCCCCACCCCTCAAGCCCCTGTTGGTTGAGGACTGTAGAATTCACAATTTTGTTTAACTTAGGCCAGGAAAGTTTCCTGCAAAATTTCATAAAAATCGGATCAGGAATTTTTAAGAATAAATTGAAAATGTTAAATTGTTTAGGGATGCATGACGCAGGACGAAGGTGAACACAACAGGTCACCAAGAGACTATCTCAGGTGACCTAATAAAATCAAAAATTAACAAAATCAAAGAGCTGTAAAAGGAGAAACAACTTAATGTCATGGTGATTAAAGCTACAAATGTTTCTGCCAATGTGTACTTGTTGTACATTTTCTTATACATTTCCAATCTGTTTTCTTTTTTTAGGGAAACATAACATACTTGTGTTTCTGTCTGTGTAGAAATGGTTTGTGCCCATTCGAAAATTGCAGTATTGGAGAGAATCCCCACCAAATCGAACATCTGATCCCAGTCTTCCAATCAAGGTCACCTTGTTGACACCTGTAACAAAAGGGCAACATACAATCTCAGAAAACAAGAGGTCCAAAAGGCCTGCAATTCGTTCACCTAGATGACTTAAAAATCATTTCACATCTAAATATTATTATTCACAAATACTGTGTATGAAAAGTTTTCGAAAATGTCTGTAAGACATAAATGCCCCTGCTGCTAAGGCCTTGACCTTGGACACCTGAAACACAACAATATCCAAAGTATACTCATTCTCGATCTGTGCATAAAGTTTGACCAAATTCCATGAGAGAATGAAGTTGTCAAGTGTTTAAATTGAATCCATTTATGATTTTCTATATACAAGAATGATCTTAGCCTTGTATAAAGTTTTACCAAAATCTGTCTTAGAATGAAGTAAAAAAAGGTGCTTACATTGAATCAGGATGGACAGTATAAGATTGGAGGTGATGCAACGGAAAGGGAAGGACAAGGGCAATGTATATACATCAAAGTTCAAGACATATAGTCACGAAAAGATCTTCATATGATCATTTTGGTGGAGGGGTGGGACTGGAGAGGTAATAAGTGTAACTCGGAAATCTACACCTTTGGCAGTATAGTGCATGGTTATAACCACTGAAGGATTAAAGCGACATTATGATAAAACAATTTTACAGTATTACAACTGGCTACTGACAACTGGCCATTTACTTGCATGTTTATCTAATTAACTGGATTTTTTTAAAACATTTTTTAAAAGTACATTGCAACTTCCACAAACCAATCCTTCTCGAATTCAATCACCTCTTGAAACTGAAAAAATGTTGATGTAATTATAGTTATAAGGACCTTCCCAATACAAATCCTTCTCAATTCCGAATGTAAGCCTGTCATAGTTGGCTTTGTATACAATACCTACCCTGATCGGGACGATTTCAATAAACATAATGTATGTAGCTATCTCCAATGACAAATTGAAACCATATCAAATGAGTCCATTTGTTTCACTGAAGTGAAAAACTGTAACAGATATGAAAATGAGTACTAATGCAGAGTTAGAAAACGGCAGTTTCACAGCTAAATTATGAGCTATATTGATACTGTTATTTGAACTTCAACTAAAGCCGCTTTAGATTAGATTAAAGCTAAAAGCCTAAATCAAACCCCAACAGCTAGAAGTTGTGTTTTTCATTACTCCTTCAAATTATATTTGTATGTATTAATTACATATATCAAAATCCAAGAAGATCTAAACATTTTCATTTTAAAGGGATATTCTGCCAAGGTTACAAAATTAGTGGCTGTTCTGCACCTTTTAAGAAATCATTTTAATGACTTCAAACTATTGTCAGCATCAAAATGTCTCTCCTGTGGTCAGTTTGGACAGGCCAAATTAGTAGGAATACTCCCAACCAAACTGTCTAAATATAGTGCATCAGGAAATCTGGAACTAAAAGGTCACTGGATCATAGATTTTATGCAGAGTATCAGATAAATACACAAGTGTGTATGCTGTTCAATAAAACTTCTGCTAAGGTCAAAATTTTGTTACTTCATTTGGCTTATTTTCTGTTGATTTTATGATTTACACAAATATTTCATCCTGTTTCGCTTATAACAACCCAAACCTGTCAAATTGGGCCCCAGCCATTAAACTATGCCAGACCTAACATTTATTTAGATATATTGATTCCGCTTCCTCCAAGGATGCTTCAGATCAAATCTGGATCAAATCCCAGCAATCTTACAGAAGGGTAAGTTTATAAAGAATCATGTTTGCATTCCTGTATGTAGCATTTTTGGGGGGCCCTTGCCCTCAATCTCCAGGGGGCTGACACCCATCATTTACCACTACACCTATTGGTTCTTTATCACCCAAATTCTTACTAAATTTTGTCAAAATACCTTAAGCCAAACAACAGAAGTAGGAATTAAACTTATTCCTGTCCTAATCGTACTGTCCTTCACCCTACGATGCTTCAGATCAAAACTTGGATAAAGTACCTTCATCACAACAGCAGAAAGATTTTGTAGACATTCCTCTATTTCCCTTGTTGGGCCATACCTCTCTGTTCCCAGGACTGACTTCAATTTAGATGGACAAAATTTCAGACAAAAGAGATGGACCTAATTTCAGACAAAATTTATACTTCTTCACCCAAGGATGCTTCATCCCAAAATTCGACCAAATTTTGCCATACCTATTTTGTTGTAGACCCTGCCTCTTAGACCCTCGGATCCAGAGGCACACCTTTTCTACAAAATTCCATTCTCCTTCTGTGAAGGATGAATCTGACCATTTCTTGAATTCTGACTTCATGAGGTGGCCTGATGGAGCATACAAATGCTTTCACTTCAGGATGTTCTTTCATCTGATTTCACAGACAGAAAGCATGTATTTTGAATTTGGCGGTACAAGAAAGCAAAACATGATAACTCTTACTTAGGACCCTTTGAACAAACATTTCTGTTAACCATTTGATAGTCTTGGAAAATAACCCTTAAACTACAGCAATTCTTGTGTTGGATGACTACTCGTTTTTACAAATGACAGATAAGCCTGTTTATTAACAGGAATTCTTGGGTCCTGGACAAATTTTTTGGGGGTCACTTACTTTTTTCATATGGTGTGTCACTACGGACAACAGTAGTTTTAGACGGAAAATCTTCATCTACTTCGTAACTGTAGCTTCTGCTTCCAAACAACCGAAGTCTGCTGGTCTGAAATATATACAACAAAAAGGGTTAATGTTACAACACAGTAATATAGCCTGAAGGTCAAAGGGTTGTTTTATGTCAGTGATATCTACAGCATGAACAAGGTTTTGCTTAAAACTATCAATTAATATATTTAGATGTACATTGAGCACAGGTGTGAATGGACTGAGTATTGAAGCTTTACTGTCAATAAACTCGCAAATATGAGCTGTAAAACATACCTTGTTTTGGTTATTTTTATATTGCTGCCGCTGGGATTTGTGAAACTGACGTATGTATCATCCATGTAATTTGTAATGGTGTTCGGGATAACCAAGAAGCTGTAAGCTGATTGGCTAACGGCATTGTTGCCTAATCAGAATTGTCATGGGCTGTCAATATTTATTTAATACAGTACAATAATAATGAGTTAATACATGCATTCATTAGGTAGTTCTTTAAGCTGAGTTGTCTCATTCTCTGTCTCCTTCTGTCACTGTGTTAGTTACTCTTTACTGTATAGGTGTGTGTTTGAATATGTCCCCATGTGTTGACTGTGTTGTCTGTGTTCAGGAAGAAGCCAGGAGCTGACCTCTAAAGTGTATATGTTGTGGATTCCAGTGGTGGTCTTAGGTAGAGGGCTTTGTCGTGTATTATTATGTTTGCTACTTCTGTTCTCCATATATGTTCAATGATTTATGATTTATATTTATTAATAAGTGACTAAGTAGAGCCCCAGACTATAACTTTGGTAGCTCCATTCACGAAGTCACTTCTCCCATGACTGCATGGGTCGCTAATATCCAGTGATTTTGTTACAGCAAGCACTTTATGGTATTATATGTGGTAATTCAAAACCAACAAGCTTAAGCTACCAGTACGATCAACTTTAAATGAAAGTGTGGCCGGACTTTCACTACCCACAATACACTAACTACAGCACACAATGAGAACAGTTGACTCGTCGGCAGATTTGAGAAAGATTATTTTGACAGACCAAAAATCTTTTCAAGCTTTCATGTGGAAATGAAATCATACTGAAAGTCTTAAATAATTCACATAAATCTAACAAACATATACATTAATGGTTTGAAACGCATGTTACCAAAATACTGTTGCAAAATTACAATATTAACCATTCAAAATAACAGCATGTGTATTCACCAGCGTACCTGATTTCCAGTTGAAAGTTTGTGAACTTTCATCTCTTTCCATGAACAAGAAAGACACAGTCTCTTACATGGAAGCAGGTGAAAGGTTCCAACTTGGTTTAAAATCTGTTCCGTTTCTCAACTGCAATATTTGCATGTACTTACAATATTTGATTATGATTAAGTATATGAATGTTTAGAAATTATCCAATAAGCATATATTGCCAGTGGTGAGGTAGTTTTTTTTTTATTTTGGGAGGAGGAGTGGGGGGAGGGGGTTAAGAAAAAGCTGTTTTATGCTATACTGGTTACTTTATTTTTAAGAATTTCTCATGTCAAAATTCTTAAAAATACAACAATTATCTTATACTGATTTTCTGCATAACAATTTTTAATAGTCTCAGCAGTGTTTACAAAATTATGATATAAAGGAGCACGAACTTCACCTGCTGAGTTCTACCCTTGCCAATCAATATTGCTTTATAAAAACCTAAAGGTTCTGAAGACAGTCTACCAAGCCAACCGAAACAGGTCAAAGAATAAAACCTAAGTTACTGAATCCCTGGTGTTGATGCTCCATCCAATATCTTCTTCTTAAAAACTTAAGGATCAATTGCATTTATGATTTTTTAAAACAGGAGTAAAACCCTGAAAAGCTAAGAGCAAAGAATCGAACCCGGGACCCCTTAGTCTGATACGCAACTGATTGAGCTAAAGAGAAGTTCTCTCTTGCCAAGTGGAATATTGCAGCTAGTATTTACCAGTTACATATTAATCTTTTTAACAGGTGTAATCTGCTACTATGGCCATTCAGCAGACGAGATGAAGTTGACAATCTGAATCGTGTTCTCTATATAAAACAGTTACTTAATATTGATTCATTAACCAATTCATGTGTGTGCTTTCTTTTTTTTATATAAATCTTGCAAAATTTAAGTAAACTAAAAGAACGATAGCGATGCCTTGAACCCGACAGTTTCACATGTGGATCTTGTTGATCAACTTGCGTTCGCATTTAGGCAGTGTTATAGCAGAGACGTATATATACAAAAATAAAACCGCGGATATATGATTAGAACCTTTCGAATTCGGACTCAATTACATCGCAATTGATGCATATGTAAAAGTCATTTGTTAACAATCATCGCTTTGGCTATCACGTGATAATCATAATTTATCATCAGATTTCTTGTACGTTACTTACTGTTCTGCACGCTGCGCCAAGTGTCCTTTGCATATTGTTTTCTTGTTACCAAACAGGAAACGATTGAAAGAAACACGTGCAAGAAAAAACACAGTCTCACTCAATCAGACGCTTCTTGCACATAATACTAAGCGGCTAGATGACTGAGACTTCTTAATGAGTCGGTGTATACCACGGCGAAAATAGCGGATAAACTCGGATTGTTTCATGTTTTTTCTCCCCGTGAAGAATGGGGATGTTGATCATGGTAACTTTCAAATATAGCTACATTGATTCTGTATTTTGTGTATTTTACACCTCAGTATGCGCATAAACTTTGATTGGTCTAAATATGAACTTAGCATTTAATGTATTAAATAGCTGTTGCATCAAATACTTCAATATCTCTGTATTTTTATGCACATACATGTATTTCCATAAAACTTCATTCAGTAAATCATTGAATTCAGTTCTCAATCCTATTACAACAATGACCTTGACGTTGAAGTTGAAGGTTGGATAATGACCGTCCTTAGTTGCTGTTTTAAGTTGTGTCAGTGGACATGATACTTAATTCCATTGGCCAAATTCAGTAGACATCAGACAGACCTCCCACATGTTATTCAGTGAGGTGGCCATCAGCTACTAAAACATGCTGTCACATAACGATCCTATATCTGTTTTCAGGACCTTACCTTAATGTTCACAAGGAGTAACTGCAGCCTTGTAAAATCACAAGGTTGAAATATATATATGTGTGTGTTCTTCACATTTTCTGCCTGAAAAAAATTCAAGTCAGTGGGTTGGGAACTTTTTTTCTTTTCAGTTCTTTTCAAATGCTGTTAGCTTGCATCTGATACTGACTTCTTAAGTACTGTACATTGATCAGAGAATGGTTTATGCACATGTTCCCAGGGTTTTCCATAATTTTGTTAGTGGTAGGCCGTGTAGTGAAAGTAGGAGGCTGGCCTGCCATGTACATGTAGTCGTGTATGGAACATTATTACAGAACTGGATTTGTGTAGGCGGCCAAATGATCAAAGTAGCCGGCCAAATTGGCCGGCGATCGGCTCTTATGGAAAACCTTGTGTACTGAGTATGTGTAAAGTGTAGCATGTGTGTATTATGAGATGGTTATCATGCTGAATATCATGATCTGTCATAACATCGATGCTGTTAGTCATATCTATATCCTGCGCTAATATATAATGTGTTCAGGATTTTTTTTTGGTCAGATTGACAGATAGACATTAATGTGATTCCTATATAGCCTCCCTTCCTTCCCCAACATGCTGATGGGGGATGAGAGTGGGGCTATAAATAGAAAATGAAACAAAAACTAAAATATACAAAATACGCAATTGGAAAATTTATCAGAATACTATCTAAGCAATGTCAAAGCAACACAGTCAGAAAGACGCTAGAGATACATAGTTGTCTGGAGCTTGTACCTGGTCTTGCCTTTTGTTTTTGATTGAAGTTAATGATGATTTCCATTTTTGTTTTTAAATCTATAGTATATTCTGATGTCACCTTTTGGTTTCCATTCATTGTGTCTTGTGTGTTTGTTACTATGCATTGTATTTTATTTCTGTGCATGTTTTATTGTTTTTTTTTAATTTTTTTTTTTCTAAATACACAGTGATAACACCCAACATCATCAACCATTTACAGAGATATCCCCAAACATAACCAACCATACACAGTGATAACACCCAACATCATCAACCATTTACAGAGATAACCCCAAACATAACCAACCATACACAGTGATAACACCCAACATCATCAACCATACACAGTGATAACACCCAACATCATCAACCATACACAGTGATAACACCCAACATCATCAACCATACACAGTGATAACACCCAACCTCATCAACCATACACAGTGATAACATCAAACCTCATTAACCATACACAGTGATAACACCCAACGTCATCAACCATACACAGTGATAATACCAACCTCATCAACCATACACAGTGATAACACCCAACATCATCAACCATACACAGTGATTACAACCAACCTCATTAACCATACAGTGATAACATCCAACCTCATCAACCATACACAGTGATAACACCCAACCTCATCAACCATACACAGTGATAACATCGAACCTAATCAATCATACACAGTGATAACATCCAACCTCATCAACCATACACAGTGATAACATCCAACCTCATCAACCATACACAGTGATAACATCCAACCTCATCAACCATACACAGTGATAACACCCAGCCTCATCAACCACACACAGTGATAACATCCAAACCTCATCAAACATACACAGTGATAACATCCAACCTCATCAACCATACACAGTGATAACACCCAACCTCATCAACCATACACAGTGATAACACCCAACCTCATCAACCATACACAGTGATAACACCCAAACTCATCAACCATACACAGTGATAACATCCAACCTCATCAACCATACACAGTGATACCATCCAACCTCATCAACCATACACAGTGATAACATCCAACCTCTCAACCATACACAGTGTTAACATCCAACCTAATCAACCATACATAGTGATAACATCCAACCTCATCAACCATACACAGTGATTACATACAACCTGATCAAGCATACACAGTGATAACACCCAACCTCATCAACCATACACAGTGATAACATCCAACCTCATCAACCATACACAGTGATAACATCCAACCTCATCAACCATACACAGTGATAACACCCAACTCATCAACCATACACAGTGATAACATCCAACCTCATCAACCATACACAGTGATAACATCCAACCTCATCAACCATACACAGTGATAACATCCAACCTCATCAACCATACACAGTGATAACACCCAACCTCATCAACCATACACAGTGATAACATCCAACCTCATCAACCATACACAGTGATAACACATACACAGTTCCAACCTCATCAACCATACACAGTGATAACATCCAACCTCATCAACCATACACAGTGATAACATCCAACCTCATCAACCATACACAGTGATAACACCCAACCTCAACCATACACAGTGATAACATCCAACCTCATCAACCATACACAGTGATAACATCCAACATCATCAACCATACACAGTGATAACATCCAACATCATCAACCATACACAGTGATAACATCCAACCTCATCAACCATACACAGTGATAACATCCAACCTCATCAACCATACACAGTGATAACATCCAACCTCATCAACCATACACAGTGATAACACCCAGCCTCATCAACCATACACAGTGATAACATCCAACCTCATCAACCATACACAGTGATAACATCCAACCTCATCAACCATACACAGTGATAACATCCAACCTCATCAACCATACACAGTGATAACACCCAACCTCATCAACCATACACAGTGATAACATCCAACCTCATCAACCATATACAGTGATACCATCCAACCTCATCAACCATACACAGTGATAACACCCAACCTCATCAACCATACACAGTGATAACATCCAACCTCATCAACCATACACAGTGATACCATCCAACCTCATCAACCATACACAGTGATAACATCCAACATCATCAACATCAATCATAACATCCAACATCAACCATACATAACATCCAACCTCATCAACAATACACAGTGATAACACCCAACCTCAACCATACACAGTGATAACATCCAACCTCATCAACCATACACAGTGATAACATCCAACCTCATCAACCATACACAGTGATAATACCAACCTCATCAACCACACATAGTGATAATATCCAACCTTATCAACCATACACAGTGATAACATCCAACCTCAACAACCATACACAGTGATAATATCCAACCTCATCAACCATACACAGTGATAACACCCAACCTCATCAGTCATATACAGTGATAATACCCAACCTCATCAACCATACACAGTGATAACATCCAACCTCATCAACCATACACAGTGATAACATCCAACCTCATCAACCATACACAGTGATAACATCCAACCTCATCAACCATACACAGTGATAATATCCAACCTCATCAACCATACACAGTGATAACATCCAACCTCATCAACCATACACAGTGATAACATCCAACCTCATCAACCATACACAGTGATAACACCCAACCTCATCAGCCATACACAGTGATAACATCCAACCTCATCAACCATACATAGTGATAAACAGAACCAATAACTCAGTCTGCCACAAAGATAATATTTTTTTAATCATTTGCTGGGTTTATTTCCCTCAAGATCAGCCAGCCATTTTGAGACAGGATAACCTTGTGGTAGCTGGTTACTATCTCAATGAACAACAAAAGGGAGGCCTGACACATGATTTCAAAGCAATATGAGCATAAAATGACTTTGCTAGGACCAATTCCCAACCCATGTTCCAAATATATATACAGGGTATGATAGTCATTATTACACATATATATGGACCATGGGTTGGGAATTGGTTCCCTGTGGACACAACCGCGTCAGTACAGACTGGTCAGTTTCTCAGTTGAGAAACACGAACCAACATGAGTTGAAGAGTGTAGAACCATGCATCTGGGATCTTCATTTGATGTTATGTAGGCCAACACTCTACCATGAGTTATGTGTTTAAGCCTGATATATATTGTTTAAACAATTTCAGATTAACAGGACAGATACATTGCTCTATTCAGCACAATCAATTTTTTTTTCAGGTTATTACTTTTTTTGAAAATCAGTGCATCGATGAATTGCACATCTACGATAATTGCTATATCAACAACATACAAAAAATTCAAGGAGTGCAATAATCTTTTAGCATAATACGAAAAGCTCAAATAAGACTACAAATAAAGCATTTACATTAGAAAAAAGAAAAAATTTCTGGCATTGCAAAATGCATGTTGACATTTTGTGCCATTTTGTGTCAGATTAGCTAGAAATGACAACTTAATACAGCTTATTTATTTAATCTCCTTTATTTACCTGATTATATATTATTATCAACATGGCAGAAAAAATAACAAGAGGTCCATTTGACCTGTATCAACAATCTCTTATAACTATTGATCAACAGAATACCGAATAGTTGGTTATATTCATTTATTTATTTAATCTCCTTTATTTACCTGATTATATATTATTATCAACATGGCAGAAAAAATAACAAGAGGTCCATTTGACCTGTATCAACAATCTCTTATAACTATTGATCAACAGAATACCGAATAGTTGGTTATATTCATTTATTTATTTAATCTCCTTTATTTACCTGATTATATATTATTATCAACATGGCAGAAAAAATAACAAGAGGTCCATTTGACCTGTATCAACAATCTCTTATAACTATTGATCAACAGAATACCGAATAGTTGGTTATATTCATGGAGGATTTGATATCACGATATTCATGATCACTTAATATTGTGCAAAATTACACTCCCATCAAACATTTCTACAGTTAAAGAAAATTTCAGAAATATCCGCTACGCTTGTACACATGGGCATCAGTTTAAGGATATGCCTGAAATTTAACACCTGTGATCTAGCCCAAAACCAGGACAACTGTGAAATATTAGACCCTTTAAAATAAACAACTATCCAGTACATAGCCTGAGATCAGTATGTATTACAATGAACAGTCTAGTGGTTTTAATCACATATAGTATACTTAAGTATAGTCTGTTTAAAAAACTGAGCACAAAAAGAGCATACAGCATAGGTACCAGTTTCCTTTCTTCCCCAGCTAAAGAATTTAGTTTTGATGGTATCAGTGCTCTCTTGCATACAAAACAATCACCAAACCAGCCAAGTCATCAGATGTAGTGAATTGACAATGTAAAGGTTTAAAAATATTCTACAAGTCTTTATATTTCAAATTGAAACAGAAACATTTGCTCCAGAAATAATAAGTCCATATTTATATAAGTGACGTTTACAACAACAGTTGTCATGGTAGTCATCTTAAATATATCCTATGTTGTTATATATAGACTTGTCTGCTGAAAGGCTCTTAGGCCATAATATAAGTGAAACAAATTTCCAAAGTTTCTGTATAACACACTTGTAATATGACCTAGCAGAGATGTGATTGGCTGAAGGTTCACATCGTCTCCATTGTGACATCATAACTTCAAGGCCTTATATTCAATCTTCCAAAGGAAGTTTAGAGACAGAATATCAGCAATATAGATATTGTATGTCTTATATACTGTTTCCATAAATGTTGAACTTTTTTTTTATCAAAGTTATGAGATAAACAGAATCTTAAACACAATTATTTCATATATCTCATATGCATGAAAACTAATATAAGATCCTCTATTTACAATGTGCTATTACACTTATAACTAATGATAAAAATAACTACTAATCAGAAATATTATAATTTATCTTCCTTTTTAAATCTGTCAAAAAGTGTTTTACTTTTATCATGTCCAAGGAAATTCAATATGCCAGAGATATTGTCTATCTGAATATTTTGCGCTGTGCAACTTTTGTGAAATTTCCATTGATATACCTTTTTGCAATTTTTGGAATTTCATTTCTTGCGATTTCGTTTTCTCATAAATATGAATGGCCTCTAATGGACAATGCTAATATAAATACTAGTGATAATTCTAACATCAACTGGAGTTCTAACTGACCAGTCATACTTGATGTTGACTAGTATTTGTTTATTATACTACCATTCACGACTCTAAAGTCTTCAAGTGTATGTAGGTACATCAGTTCTATAGATCTATTTCTCATACATTAACAATAAAAAGAAGAAAACATGCAAATGTTGTGAATTTAACCTTTTGCAAATTTGAAAGAGTCACTAAATTCGCAGATATGCGCAAAATATCCAATATACTGTTGTTCTGGAACATCTAGAACTGGCTTTTCTTTAAGAAATTTGGAATAAGGATATTCCAGGTGAGTTTTGGAGCTCAGATGGATCAAATCTGAAGACCTAGTAAATGACCATATCACTATACTTTGTACTTTGTAGTTTGATTATGCTAAGGAAAAAACAAGTATTGAAATACTTTGAGCAATTGAATTTGATTTTCAAATCTAAAATTCAAATAAATCAATGACATGATAAAAGAGTGTAAAAATATTAAACATGAATTAAATAAGAAAAACATTTTACAGGAGTAATAAATATTAGTACATATTTACAATAAAAACATGAAGACTAAAACTCCACAGGAGATATTTCGGCAAATTAGTCCCCTTCTGACACACTGCCTCACTTTTTCTTTGATATAGGTCAAAGTTCAAAATGTAGGTCAGAGTGAGATGAAGTTCAAATACCGTCCTACAGTAATTGATTAGATTATTAAAATCTCCTGATAAGACAATCATCCTAGGTAGAAGTTGGCAGTACAGTTATCATACCACTGTTAATCATGTAATTGTCTGCCAGACACTTGTATAAACTATCAGAAATTAGTGCACTAAAGTTGGATGCAGCTGTGTGTGACAAAAGTACATTTTGGCAAGTCTGACACCTGTCTGATGAATAATGGGTAAATCAAAGGGATGGTATTGGAAAAAATGGGTCCAGGAATGTTGTGTATTAACGGTTTAAGTAATTGAGTAATGTGGGTTCGAGGAAGTAAGGTTTTACTGAATGTTCAACCAACTACATATCAAAAATAACCATGCTCAAAGAAAAAATGAACTTCAACATATGGATCTTAAATTGATTGGATTCATAACAAAGGCCAAGCTATAAAGTTTCATTACTCAGGTAAAAAAATGTCCCCATCATGTGAGTAACTGCTCTTTTTTATAATTTCTTTCTTCCACTATAACATTCTAAACACCTATTGCATGAAGATTACATTCTTATTGTGGCAGTCAAGCTGAAATATAACATAAGCTGATATCAAAATATTGTCTTAATATTATTTCACAAATTTCTGTAGAGTTGGAAATATTTGTGATCATTACAGATTGCACCTTTGAAAACATACTTACAGAATAAAAATCACAAAAAAATAAGTATTATATGACTAAATACATGTAATGTATAATATATGTATGGACATTTGCAAAATCTAATTACCAAGAACAAGCCTGAACGGTGCAGACCAACCACAAAATATTAGCCCCATGACATTGAACAATTCTACAGTACCAATTAAGATGTGATACATCATATACATGTACAACACACAACTATATTTAATTGATGCTAGTAGCAGGACTGACTATTTACAAGGGTTAATCTAGACTTTACTTCAGTAGCAAAATAGGTCTAGATTTTGTTTTGTAAAATATATTTCTGTAACTGGTATGTTAATGTTTTTGTGCTGTCTGTTTGTTTGTCCATTTGTTTGTTTGTATCTTGTCAACTTTAACCTTGTCCATTACTATTGCACCGTAAGAGGTAGGGATTTCATATTTAGCACGCATATTCCTAGGGACAAGACCTGTCCGATGGTACCAAAATTTTGGACCATGTGACCTTGATGTGACCTTAGACTTGCATTTGAAACATTTAAACACTGACCATAATTTTTAACTAAAACTGTCAAATCATTTCCACAATGTTCCACAAAGTGTACATGCAATAAGTACATGCCTTACACAGTACAGTTTTAATGTCCCACTTCAGGATTTGGTTGTACGAGTGAAAAAAGTTAACCAAGATTAGAATGCCTCCAAAGGATCTCAGGAATGATGTCATAAAAACTCTTTTAAAACCATGTCAGTATATAGAAAATAATGCCCTGTTCATAACACTTTGTATTTGTTCAAATAACTTCGATGAATGTCATACTTAACCCATATCTATGTGTCCACAGTCCAAAATTTCACTTTTTTCAAAATGAACTATCTGCAGTGTCCCCTTTTTATTTTATTTTATTTCTAAAATGGACTTAACAGAGGTTCCCTTTTATTCAAAATGGCAATCCAAATATCCACAATTCCTCTTTATCATACCATTCTCGCAACATCTGTATTGCATATGAGACAGTTTTTATCTTACACAGTCAGGTATGGTAAAATGTTGAAAATCCAGGTAATAAAATTATTCCAAGTTTGAAATGTGTAAAATGATTTCTGGAATAAAGTGTTTGATAGTGATTGTAATATCAGAGTTTCATTGTTACGGTGTGAAGGAATGTTGAAGAGGAGCTGAGATATCTTGATCTTGGGAAAAGACTTGACACTTTGAACACCTAGAAAGAGAAAGGATACAGTTAATCACAAAAAAAATCAACTGAAATATCACTCATAAATGCTACATCATTATATCATATTATATATCATATTTAAAAGCCATTCCCAAAAACAGTCACAACCAAGCATTTTCTGTAAGGAAGCATCAGGTGAAGAAGAATTGGCCAAACAAATCTCAACTCAAAACATTGTGTGGAAAAAGAAGTCAGACAGACTGACATAGGCAATTACAATATCCCTTTGTGAAATCTGATAAATAATTATTATTTCAATTCACTGATTTGAACTGAAGTGGTATTTTTTAATTCTTTAAGTACAGCAATTAACCTTCATTTTGGATATTGTAATTTAGAGCTTCTTTCTATATACTTACCACAAACAGAGCTACGAGAATTCCCCAGATGGCCCCTGCCAACACATCACTCCAGTGATGCTTGTTGTCAAACACACGGGAAATACATGTATAAAATGCCATTAGGAACAAGATCAACTGAAACCAGGGGCGGAGAATAACTGCGTTTCTAAACTGCAGACGAGCCTGAATGTACAGCTGAAACATTAAGTATGTAATATAATTAATTACGTTCAAGAAATGTTGAAGAAGTAAGTGATCAAGGGGAACAACTCTTGAAAATATGGTTTTTGAAATATTGAAATATAATAAATATGTGATGGTACATAGATCACGGAAATATCACAGATATATATGTGGACAGTTAACAAATTGCATTCTTGTCAGCTTTCCCAATGCAGTTTACCGGTAAGTTTTACCCATTTTCACTTTTATGCCCCACCTCCCATTAATATTGATCAAACATGGGGTAATCTGATTTCAGAGATCCTGCTAGGTTATCGAAATTGCGAAATGAATCCCTCCATGAAATATTTATGTGGTTTTAAGAACTGAATTCTGGCATAATGAAAAAGAGTTATTGATTTTTCTACTAATAGTATTTGTCTGAAGCATCAGTGTTTTTACTTCAACATATATGCGTAAATGTAGCTGAAACATTACTTCATATGCTATATAATTGTCAAGGAATGATGAAAACAGTACTGGCAATATTAGAACTGTATCACATATCATTTGCCCTTTGGAGTGCCTGCTATAATCAAAGTTTGTAAACTGAATCACAGTCTACAGTGACAGAAGCTCAAATTTTACTCACAATTAAAAACAGCATACTGTAGACCGAAAAAGATGCATGACCAGAGGGGAAAGACAACCTGTACATAAAGAGGAGAAACCAAATTACAAAGATTCAAAAATACTTCAAATTTGCACAACTAAAACACTTTCTAATCACTGGTAATAGCAATTGTTATCTTTTTCCTCTCTTTTCATTTTGGTAAGGTTTGTTTTGGGAATGTCTTTGTTTGTTCTCAGGACTGAAGGTCATATATATGGGGATATTATTATTGACATCATAACATTAGTCTACAACTACAAATGACTACACACTGTACACAAGAAGAGTGTCCACAGAAGGTCAGGCCAATTTCCTTCATGGAAATAGAAACAATAAATCAATTTGATGTTTAGTGAAGACTGGACATAAATGTTAATTTGTTGGCTTTTTTGTAACGGCTGCAATATGTTTACAAAGTCAATACATGTATCTTTTTTCAAACAAAAGAATTTACTTCACAATAAGTTTATTGTTTGTGTATACTGAGCTGGACAATATATTCTTAAGAACAGTACATCAGTAATATCTGACCTACTGTTACCATGACAACTGTATCTCACTTTGGTGATGTATCATCCTTGTGCAATCCAGTAACCTTTGACCTACTGCTATCATACCAACTATCTCACCACCTGTGTAATGTATCTCAAAGTGCATCAGAAAGTTGTATCCTTTGACCTACTAATACCATGACAAATATCTCTCACTTGGATGATATATCCTTCACAATTGCAATGGCCTTTGACCTACCTTTACCATGCAAAACACCTACCTTGCTTGGTAAATGACATCAACATCTCCTGTACACTTATATTCCTCTATGTATCCCATACTGCAGTTATAAGTGCTTGGGTCAGGCCGGCACACTGAGAGGAAATGAGGGCGAAGTCTCCCAAGTGAATACTTGGATAAGCCACGTGCCAGAAACTCCATCGCAGCTCCAAACATAAATGGCAAAACTATGTTGTACACAGCACAGAGGTACAAAGTTAACTTTGAAGGAGAACTACTATGGGCGTCATGATTTTCATTGTCATCTACTGTTGAAGTTGATACTGCTTTCCCATTAGTATTGTTTTTAGGTATCCACAGAGCCTCAACAATTAAAAACTTGAAAAAAAAAAAAAGTTTATTATGCAGTAATTGCAGAAAGCATAGGTAACAGTGATTCAATAATTTTCACCAACTTGAGGAATCAACTTTCAATGCAACAAAACTTAAGATGTACAATGTTATTATATACACTGAAAATGAAATAGACCATAAAATATATATTTGTTGTTATAATTACATATCATGTAACAGCTAGTACTTACCAACAAAAAGTTAAGTCCAAACCCTACAACGTAGAGAGCTGTAGATGGTATAGTTGATTTGTGAAAAGGGTAACTGATACTTTCATCGTCACAGTAAAATCCACGGCGAAACGGAGTCATGAACTGATGGACAAGGCCTGCACACAGTGCAACTGAAATATCAAATGTCAGAAAAGAAGCTTAAGGTTTATACGAGTTACTTCCCTTACATCAAAATATTGCAACGTACTCTACCGTTTTGCAGTCGTCTGATTTGACGTAAATACTGTGCATTAAGTTAGAAACGCTAATGTATGATAGAGAAGAATACTGGTAATCAAGAGAAACTAATTTTCCTGCCTGACATGACTCATAACTTCTCACGATCAGGTCACATCAGCATCAATGTTGGGAACCAATTAGTAGTGTGGCTTTACATTCGGATTAAATTGACAGTTTTTCCCTACCACTTCCAACCAGAATTACATCCACTGTAACCGTAAATATGTTCCTTTTCGAACATGCGTACGAGGCCTCACACTTCGGTGAGATCTTCATCTTGACGTCTCTTTACTTCCTACCGGAAGTTTACAATGAAGGTACGAAAGTCACAGGAACTTTGCAAAATGGGAGTCGATTCCGGATTTGACAATTACGGGTTTTTGACATCGCATGCAAAAGTCGACGGTGGGGCCGGGTCCAGGTCCGGGGATCGAGTGTAAACAAACGACACACCGATCATAATAAATGCAAGATTAGATGTGAATTATGCCTCATTCATGGGTAGAACTGATGTGTTTCAATTAGAAAGGTAAACAGATTGTTTGGAATTCCGCAAAATCTTAAATCAAACCGTATGGTAACTGTAATTTGCAAAAGTTCGGAAAATTTAATGACCGAGTGCGGCGTACAGTTCCCCCCTCTAATCCCACCACAACCCCCTGAAAAACACATATGGCTGATTTCAAAAAAATCGATATTAGAGTTATTTCATTCAAGGTATTTAAGTGGATTTATTATATGTTAATAAAAATTGTTCTCGATATATTAATTATTTCTTTCCTTCCTGGTAAAGGTATCAGGGCTGTGGAAAGCCGTATACAAATTCACCCCCCTCAAAATCGACAAGTGATTCCAAAAGAATCTTGGTTTCCTCCATTGTTTGACCTCCCTTTTTTCTTCTTTCCTTTGTTTTTTTTAATTGTGTGAATTCGTTTTGCTGATCAGTCATAAGTACGGGAAAGAAAGGACACGATTAGGAATCAAGGGGACCTATCAGGTTCATGTGTATATTCTTAACTGTATCACTATTTTAGTTAAGTAAAATGTGACTTGCTAGTTACGGCAAACTTTGGGGACTAAAGTTTGGGGACTAGTCGTCTGTATTCAGCATTTTCATCCACATGCAATACGGAAAGAAATAAAAATGGATAGCAGCTTTTTATGAAAAATTAGATACAGCAAAACCAAACGATAAAGAAGGGCTGTCAGAGGCAGGTTATACTCCCTGAATAGGACAAAATTTAAGTATGAAAAATAACCAAGGGCAATAACTTCTATATTTTGCAAAAGTCAGTTATGATTCTTGTACACTGCCTTTTCCACATCAAGATCTATTTACCTATGAAGTTTTATGCTGGTATCTCTTATAGTTTGAGTGTAGTGCTCTGGAAAAAAATTAAGTATGAAAAAGAAAAATAACAAAGGGCAATAACTCTTAAATTATGTAAATGAGAGTGATGGTTCTTATGCACTGCACTGTCTACCTATGAAGTTTTATGTTGATACCTTGATATCTTTTATAGTTTTTGTGTTATGCTTCAGAAAAATTATGATGGACAGATGAACAAATGTACAGACAAATCAGGGACTATAATTAGAATTCAGCATACAGGATTTTCATGTTCTTTAATCCAACAGAAATTGAAAGAAAAGTCAAAATCTAAATGGGAAGGTGCACTAGCCCCATAATGAGATGTTTTTTATCAGGAGAAGATGTTCATGTTTGGTCAAAAGCTCTCAGACCTCAAGTTCCTGGTTCCATATATTTCACAATATCGCAATGAGACCTGATTTGATAGTGAGAATGGATAAGGCAGTAATAACTTTTGTGAAATGGTTTGGTTGAACATACAGACATGCCAACAACACAATGTTTACATTAGTTCATGCCTGAAGTTAAGCTAACTTTGTATCATTACAAACATAGGAAATCATTGACCTGATCATTTGGGTACTCTAGATGGATTCTTTTGAGCAGAATTGCTATCAAGTACAGGAATGAAACAGTCATACATTACCTTTGCAAGTGAAAGTTAGAACTGCATTTTCTTGAAAAATAAGCAACATTTTCCTTATCAATTCAATTTTCATATAATCTTGAAATATATTTTTGTTATCCTACTAAACAGCAACAGAATAACATTTTCATGCTTGGTACTAGTGTGATGGGGAAGCAAGAATATTGCTATAAAGAAAGTAAAGTTAATACTTGGGAAACTAAAATCACCAAACAATTTGGTAGTGAGCAGTTCATTTTAATGGGTTGTAAGATGAAGTTTGTCGTGTCATTGACTTTCAATTCTGGTAAGAACATCCAATGGATATAGTCAACATGTTTTGTATTAGCTCTTATTTGGCTAGCTAGAGATTTCTTGGAATCACATGAGTTTTACAAAAATTGGTGTTGTTTTTGCAGCAAAGTAACATATACGGACAGCTACATATAGATTGCAGTATCCCTTCTCCTCAGATGTCAAGCAGTTTTCAATTGCTAGACCACTTGATTTAGGGAAACAAAGGGAGATCACTTTGAAAAGACAGCTTCTGTTTCTGTGGATTTTGATCTAAAACAATAAACTTTGCTTTTATCAAATTTTATTTGATCACCAGCTGACAAATATGAAAAACGTGTACATGCACGATGTTGAAATCCAATGCAAACCAAGATACAACATTTCACAGCACTTGTTACAAATATGGAATAATGGTAGAGGATGGAATGCCAATACATATTTTGTGAACGTACATTGTAGTTTATATAATTTCAAAGAGAAATCACAACTTTGGTGCATACAATGTGTATATACTGTACATGTATATATTTTGGCGGTGATCTTATTTTAGCGCTCTTTGGCCTGAAAGTATTGTGCTGGATTATGATCAGGCTCATTGCAGTTTTGTATGTTGTTTACATAGCAATAACTGTTGATATGAATACATTACTGCGCTACGTTTTGCAAACCATGATAATGCCTAAAACATAATTGCTCCAAATTAAGTACATTTGCATGAACACATATTAGAGAGAGTGCTCTCATTGAAGTTTGGTAAATATTTTAGACTTTAAGACACAGTACTAAGTATTTGAAACTAAGTAAGCGTTTTACAAGTCCATGCTCTTCGTTTCCATGTTAACATGTTAATGAATAAGGAATGCATGCCAAAGTATCCCGGTAAATATTGAATGAATTTCACTATAACTGATGATAGAAAGAAGCATATTTTAAAGAAGATTGTACAAAAGACACACAAGTGATTGGCACCACTCAATACAAATTGAGGTATGGTACAGGAGAGCAAAACAGTGAATTAAACTGCATCATACAGCTATTTTGTACTTCTAATACTCATCAGTAATGCTAAGGGCTTAAATGTTCAAACTAGGAAGTGAAACATCAGGTAGAAATATAAAAATCTAGATGGGGAAATACAGTAAGACTATGATTCACTGCTTTCACTGTACAGTACTAGTATTTACTTAGCCCCTGCCAATCATTTCTGACTTTGTCATGTGACATCTTAATTTTTAGCATAAAACTCAAATGATTGTGAAATTAATTAAAAAATAAATGTTTAAACATATATTACATTATGTACCAATTTAGAGCTTCTGTGGAAAAAAAGACTCTGAAGCAGTGAAATCATAGCGCTACTCTGTAAATGTGAGTGAACAAATCAATGTCACTTCGAAAAAATTCTGATGACAAGATCTGGATGACAGAAAACATGACAAAAATTAAGTTTATATCACAAATAAATAAATAAAAAATATACATTTTGCATACCTGGGTATATTAACAAAATAATTTTAAAAATTCAATATTAACATTGTATTAAAACATTTATCTACTTGACAAGAAGCTGGTTGTGATCAAAGTTTATTTTTTGTTATAATCAACAATGACATGTTTACTCTAAAAAACACACCTGACAAAAAAAATACAATTTATTTCTCAGAAACAAATTTCACAAAATTAGCTTAAACACACACTTGACAAAATCTTACAATTCAGTCCCTCAGAAACATACTCTGATACCTGGCCAACAATACAATTAAATCTTGCAGAAACACTCCACTAGTCTCAATAATACATACATGACCAGTGTATTCTCTGAAGCTCGCTATACAAATTTCTTTCTTGAACACATTATCAACTTCATCATTCTGACACACACCTGCAGCAACAAACTGGTATCCCTCCGAAAAACAATTTAAAAACAAAATTCCTCTCATACAAAATCTCAAAAGTTTAATCTCTCTCAAAAACACATACTTCACCTTATAAGCTTCCAAGACAAAACACAAGATTAACAGCACAAATTTAGTCTCTCTATCTGACAAATTTGCTCTCTATAACATACATTACCAAATTAGTCTGAAGCAGTTCAGTCTTTATTACTCACTAAACAAGCGCCTATCTACAAGGCAAACACTGTGAAATATCTCCTATGAAATCCTTTCCTCCTCATAGACATAAACACAAAAGCAGCCTGTGATGATGGAATAAAATGTATTATTTTTCATTGACAGCTGATAATCACACTTAATATCCAATATACAAATAATCAATAACATTTTCCAAAACTTTACGGTAGCAGGCCAGATTATATTTTATCATCTGAAAATATATTTACTGATGGAATTCAACATCCAATATTCATGCAGATGATCAAGATGAAAAATAAATATTGTGCTGGTATGCAAATTATGCAGAGCACCACAGTACAGGAGGCTTATATTTAGATGTATTCTTGTGGCGTCAAATGTCATAAATTAGTATATTATCTTTATTCTGTTTCCTATGGATCAAATTTATCTCATGCATAGCCGGATCAAAATTCATGAAAAGACACTTGAATTGGTCCTGCATTACTTGGTGTGATCCAATTAACATTTATTTACCCTTCATGAAATTAGTGCTTAATACTCATGACTGTTATTTTGAAAATAGAACATAACTGTTATATATACAATTCAAAATCGTAAGAATATAATCAATTACACATTTGGATCTGCCATGTATGTGTACATATATGGTTTTTTTGCCATAATGTTAAGATGGAGACCTCCGCTGTTTCAGACTTCAAAACGCAGTAGTGGTTTTGTAGCCATAATTCAAACAAAAAGCATAATAGTAGTATTCACTAACTACCATAGGCATTTTTTACGCAGGTCAAAAATTTTCACAATTGTCCTTTCGAACAAGACAATCAAAGCTTATTTTTTCAAAGATTGAATTTTTGAGATCACCTCTCAATTTACGCCCTACGAAATAAGTGAAAATATCATCCCGACGAAAATAACCAGCTATATGATATATGGCATAACAGAAGATATCCGTACACTGATTCTAGTCATTTGTGACATTTGGCTTTTTTATGTTTTCATCAGCAGTAATATGGATGTCAAGGGAGACAACTCTTCTACTGAAAAGTCTTTAGAAAGTTCATATTGAAGAATTGTTTGTCTGACATTGATTTCTTTGCCTGATTGAGAAATGTTTTATTTGCATGGGTCAGGCACAAAAAACTGGCACTAATTAGCAACATTATCACAAAACTGACATCTCAACCAGTATTTCCACTCGGAACACTTTTTACAATGATCACAATCAAGGAGCTCTATCTTTTCTTCATCTGCCGCACAATGTCCATCCCAGGTCCATCCAGAATATCACAATAAAGATCATCTTCAATTTTTAACACAGATTTTGTCATCTAAATGCAATCCCATCCATCAAACTCTATCCAAAGTTTACTAAAATGGGATATGTCTATATTCCAAGAAAAAGATTAATTCAAAGGAATATTCCATAAATGATAATATGAAATTTAAGGAGATTTTCAATATGAATGTCCAATAAATTTGAGTTTTTGGCTACTTTGGAACAGGAGGGCGAGAAGGCAGACTGGGTACTGATGGGAGTGTACGGCGAATCCTTTGGTGTGTAGATGGCATGGACGGTTGAAGGACAGCATTGGCAGTAAATGGCCGGGTAGAGGGGACAGATCGCTCTGCTGCTGCCGATGGTGTACCTCTTATCACTGGCTGCACAACATCAGAGTAGATATTACTGCGATCATATTTCCTCCTACAAATTGAATTTTACATTATAGAAACTCAGAAATAAGCACAAAATCTTATTAAGTTTACTTCACAATAAACAAATATTCATGCAATTTGATCACATGATGGTTACAATGACTTGAGAGGTAATTTTTTTCTGTGTTGTTTAAAACTATGTGGTATCATTCAAATCCCAAGTGAAACTTTAGAAGCATCGTTAACTAATTCAATGTAATTATGAAATTTGGGTGATATAACTTTTTGAGTTTGAATCCATTTGAGACAAAAACCTTCACGGGTACTTGTCTTGATAACGTTACTTAATTTCATAGCTGGTAAAAGGCAAAGGGATTTCTGTATCTATAGCTTATCGATCAAAAGTAAACATATTTTACCTGATATCACTTGAGCCGGAAGAGAGAAGGCTAGGTTCGTCTGTAGATGAGGTAACTGAGGGAGCTCGGGGTAGTCCGAGATTATCTGACACACGGAGTACACCACGTACAGGACTGCTTCCTCTTACCACAGTGTTTGGCTTAATAGGAGGACTAGGTCGCAAGGGGCCTCTGGACTTTGGACGGACACTCTCATTTCCTGATGCTGGCTGTTTGTTCAGTAGTGACAGGAGAGGGTCATTAGCAGTTGATTCCTGTTCACCTGATAACTGCTCGTTTCTGTGATGATCCTTCGTAACCATTTTGTGATTCAATTTGTTATCTGTGAATTAAAAAAAAAGAAAAATTCACTTTTACTCATTGTGAAATTTCCTGCTTTTTACCCCTATGCAAATTGCTTGACAATATGGTTGGTACCCATAAAGGAAACTTCAAATCTGAGGGAGACGTAGATTTTTAATGAAACTTTTGTAATGATATCAGCATGTTTTTGGTGTTACATGTGATAGAATCAATATTGGAACAAAAATTGCCATCTAGAAGATATATACTGTAAAATCATGCATTTCGTAGAGCTCAATTTTTTTTTTTTTTTTTTTCAATGAAAAAAATATAACTCAATAAATCTGCTTATTTTGACAGCTGGTTGACATGTGTGGAAGAAGAATACCTAAGATATCAATGAATATAAATCTCCTGCAAAATTAATAGCTTTACATTATATGAAGACCAACATCACTGAAGTTTAAGTTTACTACAAGTAAATGCAAAAAGTTTTCAAATCTTTCTAAATGGTATGAGGATGTAAGGCTTTAATGTATCTTGGTACCTTCCTCTGTTGTATTTGCACCAAGGGGAGAGAATCCAAGGTCGCCATCAATTTCCTCGTCTTCATCAGATGTGATTTCCTCCCCAGAGAGACTGATGGCATCATCATGATCCACAACTAAGACTTGTGGAGCCTTTGCCTCCTGGATCTTTATCATACGCCTGCACAGTTATGAAAGTATATGAGTATTTATTTTACATTAAGCTCAGAGAGACAATTGACTCATGACCTTGATTCCAATTCAGAGAGTGGGCTTAATTTAACAGAGAATTTGTAGGTAGTTCTATAAGTTTATGACTTATTGTCAGATATGGGCCTATTATGTGACATATACCATATCAGAACAAAATGTGTTTATGAAACACTATGCCCCGGTTGCAACAAAATTCTAAAGTGGGACATTAAAACTGTACAGTATAAGGCATGTGCTAATTGCATGTACAATTTTTCAACTGAATGCCACAATGAAAGCCACATGGTGAACAATATTGGAATCACTAGAAAGGTCTTGTCACAAGGAACACACATGCCAGATATGAAAGCCCTGCCTATTACATTGTAAAAGTTATGGGCAAGGCTAAAGTTGACAACAAACAAACAAACAAACAAACAATCAGACAGCATAAAAACAATATGTTCCCCATGTTTCGAGCTCTGGATTGCATACAATGGGCCTCCTGTATGTTGTTCAGTAAGGTTGCTGCCAGCTACTAAAAGGCAACCCCTGCCTCAACATAAAGTGTCTGTTTGGACCCACAAATTCACTGTAAACATTTCATTGATAAAAATCAATAAATATCCTAATGGCTTACTTTTCATGTTCCTTTTTCCAGGCTTGTAATTCTGACATAATCTCTGATCTATCTCTGTCATCCTCTGGAGGTAGATCATAGGTATGCTCTGGCTGATGTTTAAACTGAAAAGGTCAAAAAACATTTTCATCAAATCATCTAAAGCTTGTGACATTCATTCATAAGGATTAACAAATCTGTTTTTGATTTCTAGGGATAACTGCAGCTGTAACTGTTAAAGTACGACCCTCAAAGGATTACAAAGAAGCATCTTTCTATTCTTGATTTCTGACGTAAACAAACTACTGCTTTCTTCAATCTCAAAAAGTTATACATACACCCATCAAGAAAGGTGTATTAATTTCTCATTATTTGGGATAACTCGGTAAACAAAACAGCCTAACAGCCAAACCTATTTCCCCTTCATTGTTAGAGCCTACTCTGATAAACTGTTTCTCTAGGCCTTTACAATTACAGCAAAGGTACACTCCTTTTTCTATGACCCTAGTATCATTTCTGCTTCTTAAAAACTCTTTAAAGTGTAAACTATTACAATCACTTCCGAGTTAGTTTTTTCAATTTATTTGGTTTTTGTCAACATCTTTTGCCCCTTTAGGGAGTTTTGTAAGGACAAATTTACACAGATGTTTCTCCCATAACTGTCAAACAGACTCCAGCGACCAAGTTTTTGGCAAACCTACCTGGGGAAACACTTAGGAGCAGTACACAAATTACCACCACCACTTTTCTATATAGCTCTTACTTGACAGTGATTGATATTGTGACGTCCCACACTTGATGATTGTAACAAGCATGATAACTTTTTCTGAATATATATATGATATATTCCATGTACATAATATAATAAAATTGTACCTATTTCTGATTAGTTAAGTGCTTTCCTATCAAATCTTAAGATGCTTTACAATTAAAAGTGTTTACAATCTTACAATTTTATGTATATGTAAGCAGGATTAATCAACAGGACAAAGTATTTGTTCTGCTAACATTCTCTGGTGTTCGTATTTGTATATAAATATATATATAATGACAGACATCGAAAAGTCTTCATATTTCCTACGCCACATATTTATACGTTTCTCATATTTAATGTCATTTATTTTAAATACAGTGAAGCATTTAATTTGGTGATATTGAAGATTGTTCAAGGTCATGATTCAAACACAGCTGATATAGCTATTGGTACCAATAGGAAATAATAGCATGATTCTGAAAAGATCATTATTTTTTGTGACCAATGTGACCAGTGACAGACCTTAATTTTAAGTACCTATACTGAAACAAATTGTTTGAAGACAGCTCCATTCCCCAGCAATCAACAGGTTAAATAATGACTCCTGTGCCTCCTGGTTTGGTGGGAGTTACTTTATATCTTCTTATTTTTGAGGGAAAAAAAATTGCAAAAAGTAAAACTAATACAGAAATTCAAAATCTTTTTAATGAGTTCTGTAAAAAATACATCATTTCTGCTTTAAGATTTTGGTGAAGCTTCAAAAATTTGTACCAGTGTGAACAATCTTTGCAATATCTGACCCCAGACCTATAAAGAGGGTCAAACTGATTTATTCAAACAGACTCCAGCAACCAAGTTTTTGTCAAACCTACCTGGGGAAACATCTTAGGAGCAGTAGACTCTTTGTTGTCTGGTCCTGTTATTCGTCTCCGTGACAACAAAGCTTTAGATGGGTTACCACAAATGACATTCCCTAAAGTTAAATCACTTGACGCCTCTTCTGACTTTCCATCTGAAAAATAAACAGACCGTTTAGAGATTCTTCTTCTTCAAACATAATATCACCAATTGTTTGAACTGCTCAGTGAAGACAAAGATAGTTTACTGATCGTGTGATACAATGTAAGAAGCTGGCTGTAATTTGTGTGACTGGTCATATATTACAAAGCTTGCTGTAATTTTGTGACATGTCATATATTACAAAGCTTGCTGTAATTTGTGTGACTGGTCATATATTACAAAGCTTGCTGTAATTTGTGTGACTGGTCATATATTACAAAGCTTGCTGTAATTTGTGTGACTGGTCATATATTACAAAGCTGGCTGTAATTTGTGTGACTGGTCATATATTACAAAGCTTGCTGTAATTTGTGTGGCTGGTCATACAAAATCTACTGTAATCTGGTTTTTGATGGGTCAATATGCTACCTGGCATAATCTTGCCTGTGACAGGTAAAACAGAACTTGCTGTAATCTTGTTTGTGAAGCATCAAACAAAATTTGCTGTAGTGTTATTTGTGAAGGGTTACACAAAACTGCAATCTTGTTTGTTTGTAGTAAGCTGTATTTCAATAAATGTGAAATTACATACCAGTAGGGCTTGTGTTACTAGCTGTTCCAGGCCGTGCTGTGGCAGGACGTAAACTTCCTGATGTAGTAGCAGGGCGCCTTGACCCTGTGAGAGGACGGAATCCTGAAGAAGGTCTGAGAGCACTTCCTGGTCTATAAGCTGTGGATGGGCGTAGGGAGGCACTGCTAGGACGACTTGAGTCTGATGGGCCTGGAGTATCAAAAACAGAGTTGTTCTCTACACACATCATAAACAATCCAGGGTCATTTACCGTGAAAACCTGAAGATTTGTCATCTTAGAAATACTACCATATACACAAAGATTTACTATAGAATCAAAAGTAGAAACATTTATCATTTAATCATTTACAATTTAAGACAAAAGATTGCAACCCAGTTTTCTTGGTCTGCATGACAATTACGAAATGTTTTTTTTTTCTTCAAATAATGTGCATTATATAACTTAATATTATGTAAATTTGTTGTTTGTGAACGATGTCATATTTTGTAAACAGTCCATAAATATATGACATCCTGTCAGGTCAGAGTAAGTCACATTTTTCAATATAATTATTGTAATGTGCTCATTCTGCAATATGCCATGAGGCCAACACATATCCTATGACTGAAGTCAGATGGTGGGCTTATTACAGAACAATGAAATAGATAGAGAGCATTTGTTAGTGATTCTATTGAGTACCAATAGAAATACGTGGGCTTATTACAGGACAATGATAGAGAGCATTTGTTAGAGGTTCTACTGAGTAGCAGTAGAAACAAGTGGGCTTATTACAGGACAATGATAGAGAGCATTTGTTTGTGATTCTACTGTGTAGCAGTAGAAATTATTGGGCTTATTACAGGACAAAGATATATAGCATTTATTTGATTCTACGGTGTAGCAGTAGAAATGATTGGGCTTATTAAAGAACAATGATAAAGAGCATTTGTTTGTGTATTGATTTTCTTACCTCCTCCCTCTGAAGTTTCTAAACTCTCCAGGGAGCCTGTTAGTCCCAAATCTTTTTGTAATTCCTCTAAAAATGTCCAGTCAGCATCAAACACATTTTTTGCTTTACTAGACGCTGAGTCTGTTGTTAAGGGCTCATCATCCAAAGTGACAAGGTGAGGTAAACTTTTCTTTACTTCCTTTCTATAGTCATAATTTGCCTGTAATTCATAATCATAAACTTGTCACTTGATTGAAACTAAAAACGATACCAATTATAAAGCTCTTCATGGAATAGAAAACCTGTGTTATTTTCTTTTAATAAGTGTATTTTGAAACATAACAAAATATAATTTTTTTATCAAGAAATACTTTCTACAAGTGAAATAAAAACTTACATCCTCACTGTCAGGAGAGGGGTGAACACATAGAGGGTTTGCTTCTAATGTAAGATTCGTCAATTTCATACAGAAGGACAGATACTGTATTTGTGATATATCGTCTAAATTATTCCTGCAAAAAAAAAAAAAAATAAATAAAACAAGTTGACTGATTTTATCATTATATCATACTATAAATTTCAGACAAATACTATACAAGTTCTCTTACAAGCCATTTAAATCCATTAACTGAAACAAAGCTTGAATTCAAGATAAGGGTGGGCTTATCATTGGAAAAAAAATATGGAAGACTTAATTTGTTTGCTTTTGACCAGTTGTACATAATGCAAACATTTCAAGAGTTATCACCTGCAAATACCTCTGTAGACTTTCTTTCAGATTATATTTCATTTGTAATCACCTGTTTTTGTGATCAGCTGTCTATGTGATAACCTGTCTATTGTAATAAGCTGTCTATTGTGACCAGCTGTCTGCCATGGTCTCCTGTCTACTGTGATAACTTATCTACTGTAATCCTGTCTACTGTGATCACCTTTGCATTGGATCACCTGTCTACAGTGATCACCTGTCTACTTTGATCACCTGTCTACTTTGATCACCTGTCTACTTTGATCACCTGTCTACTGTGATCATCAGTCTACTGAGATAATCTGACTATTGGAATAGAAAGAGTAAGTTTTTAAGAAGAAAGGGCCAAATATCTCCTGATATCCTTATTATATAGAGTTACTTACCCTTCTAAGTCAAGTATTTGGAGTTTATCTAACATACTGAGAGGACTGATGTCTGAAATTTCATTATAAGATAGGTAGAGTTCCTGAAGACTGCTCATCGAGGATACACCATCCAGCTCTACCAGGGAGCATCGTGACATCCACAGCACCTGTACAAACCGTAGTGATGAGCCCAGATCCCTGAAGTATAGAGAAATGGACATTTAATACTGTACAAACCATAGTGAGAGTCCCAGATCCATGAAATATACATAGAAAGAACAGTTTATTCTGTAAGATTTGTAGTGACAAACCTAGATCCATAAAACAGACAGTTAATAAAGTACAGACTGCAGAGACAAACCGAGGTCCCTGACATGTAAGGACAGTTAGAACACATCAGTTATATGAACTGAAATCTCAGGCAGGTGTCAATGTCATGATCCTTTTTATTGGATAAACCAGTATTATACTAACCTAATACAAGGGGTAACACTATTAGACAGACGTAGTTGAGTCAGGTTTGGAAGTAATGATCCGAAATTCCCGAGACTGGTGTCGGAAGTGTTCACTTTTAGCTCCAGACTGGTCACTGAATCTAGATTCTGTACACCAGTGAGTAATTTCTACAAAACAAACAATATAGATATCACAAATACACACAAAATAAGTCTGAATCTGATCAGCGGGTATAAGCAATATCTGTCTGTTCATCCATTTATCTTCCCGTCTGTCTGCAAAATATGAGCACTTTGTCAATAAAAACAAAGTAAGCTGGGGCTCAGATATACCTCCATCCCCAATTTTTTTTTCTTCTGATCTAAATCCACGGTCAAATGTGACCTTTGACTTTAAACATTGATTGATGATCAACAAAAGAGACGAGTATAATTACAGTTTATCAGGGATTTCCTGTAAGTAACAAGGTTGAACAAGAATCTAAGAGACACACAGAATTACGATGTGCTATTGTAAGTTACCCTGTAGTTCATATATGAGAAAAAGTATACCAAGTTTCTTGTCTGTTACCATTTTCCTTGGGCAGATGTATAATATGTTTCTTAAAAGTTACCAGTTTTCCTCGGGCAGAGGTATACTTTGTTTCCTAGAAGTAACCAGTCTTCCTAGAAATATATTGTGTTTCCAGTAAGTTATACTTTTTGCTATAGAGAGATAATGTGTGTTCCATATAAGTTACCAGTTTTCCTGCAGAGAAATATAGTGTGTTTTCTATAAGTTACCAGTTTTCCTACAGTGAAATATAGTGTGTTTCCTATAAGTTACCAGTTTTCCTACAGTGAAATATAGTGTGTTTCCTATAAGTTAACAGTTTTCCTGGAGAGAGGTATAGTGTGTTTCCTCTAAGTTACCAGTTTTCCTACAGTGAAATATAGTGTGTTTCCTATAAGTTAACAGTTTTCCTGGAGAGAGGTATAGTGTGTTCCCTATAAGTTACCAGTTTTCCTGGAGAGAGGCATAGTGTGTTCCCTATAAGTTACCAGTTTTCCTGGAGATAGGTATAGTGTGTTCCCTATAAGTTACCAGTTTTCCTGGAGAGAGGTACTGTTCCAGAAGAACATCACTGTCCTCTAACACTATTGGTTCTGGGTTCACTCTTGTCTCCATAAATTCTGTAATCTGCACCCCTCGGGCCAGGGCGCTGACTGGCCTCGCACCAAAGTCTGAATTCATGTTTTGTAGCCTGTAAATATAAAATAATGCTTTATTCTTTGATTCACATCATATCAGCAATTGGAACCAGTTCTATTTGTGAATATGAAAGGAATTGCTCAAACCACATTGACTATACATAATAAAAAAAATTATAAAAATTTGCAAGCCATGAATATGTCCATTTATGAATACTGTCATGTTTTAAATGGGGATAATTATAAAAAGGATTTCTATTCTGCTGTAACTTACTCCAAAATAGCCCCTCTTCTATTATGAAGACTATATTATTCTTGTTCTATTTACAGAAGATTGTGCTTTCTCTTACCTAATTACCCTAAGCTCTACTAATCTATCATAAATTGGCACTCTGTTAAGCCTCATACTCAAATTAAAATGTCTTGACTTTAAAAATCATTTTTCCATAGGTTTTAATTGCCTACAACACACTTAGGTGACAGATTATTTTTCTCTTCCATATTCCATTTAATATATCAAGTTGTTGGGATAAATTGAATGGTCGTGGAATGTGTGTGAAAATTAATAATATTATTCCATTGCCATGATCACGAATAACATGACATATTCAAAGAGACAGTCCAAACAAACACGGCAGTGAATCTGAAGAGCTAATTGCAGCAATCTTGGGATTGGGCACTTGGGTGTGGTTTGCATCACAGAGTAATGCAGAATACATTTGTACATCAGAGTAGATTTATTATCACGTGCTCACAGCTAGCTTATCATGTGATGTCACAATCAGGTAAGTTACAATCAGTTGTCATACCTGACTAACTTACCTGTAATATTGACTTGTTTACATGGAACATTTGCTAATTTACCTATGACATTGAATAACTTACAGTAAATGTAATATTTACTTATTGACTTACCTATAACACTTACTAACTTATCTGTAACACTGAGTGACTTACCTGTAACACAGGGTATCCTGTGTAAGAGCCATGGGAATCAACTGTCACAGCAGATCAGCACCGTGTCCACTGGGATACACTGCATAAAAGTATCGTACAATAATGGCATTGTAATAGTGAACATTACCAAAACAAACTATTTAAAGACGGCTTTTGTTTATTCTAACATGTACACTATCCATGTTCACCTGTAAATCAATAGACAATTCAATGGAGAAATCTGAATCTGTTTTACAAAAAGGAAATTGTCATCAAACTTCTTCAAGTCTTATAATGACTCAGAAAATGTAATGCAAGGAGGTCAAATGGAACAAAAAAAAAGACAAAACACAAGTTCAGATTGGGAACTCCCCTAAAAAGCTGTGACAATCAATAAAATTTTTGTTAGACTTAAAATCTAATTGTATTTTATGGCATTTTACAATGTATGTAAAACAACAACATGTCAAAATATTTCAAAATTTATTGATTTTGGCTATAACAAGTTTTGTTTGAAAACTTTTTGCCTTTTGGAAAATTTTGATGATTTCATTCACTCTAAAATCACAGGTTTTTCGGAAGCTTAAAAAATTGTGACTCACAAAATTCTTAGTATTTATTTTTAGGATATTTCGTATACTATTACAGCCTATCAGCTGACAAGTAAAAATTCTGAGGGAGTCCCTCACTTGATAGTATGTGAGTTTGCAGTAACATAACATTTTCAATATCCAATAACACAAACTGTGAAATCAGATTATTTACAAAATTTAGAGTTATGATAAAATAAGCTTCATGCATGAAGATATGCTCCCCAATCTTTTATGTATTTCCCTTCAAATTCATGTACGTAAGAAAAGAAAAGACAATTACTTAAATAAATAAATCACTATTCATCCAATATATCAATGTCACAATTATGTGACTTTCAATAAATATGAGGCCAAAAACTGTAACTTTTGGCACTTTTTCATAATTCCTTATAAAATCAATGCTAGTTTAGTGCTTTGCTTGATTGAGGAAACGAATCGAAAACAACACAATATGCGTAATTGATGTAATTTTTTCATGTGTAGATGAGTGCTGTGATTCCAATGAGTCTGACTTATAAAAACATCAATATAACCGATGTCTTCATAGCTTCCATAACAACGTCGATTTTGTATAGATTTTCTGACTTGAAAATTACCTGAATACATCCCTTTCGCCAACCAATGAAGAAAGTACGTCCTGCTACATAGCTGTCAACTCGCAATTTATGTTTGAAAGCTAATGATAACTCTTCCCTGTAAAAATTAGTTTGTATGCGGTTGCAACGGACGCAAGTTCGCCATGTTGGAATTCCGTATAAATTGCGCATGTGCAAAATCGACTTCCGATCGGAAACTGTCATTTGCAGCAAAAAGCGCGGGAGAGAAACACGTGTGTACACAAAGTTGTAAACATTAGAAAACTCCATCTGTCAACAAGTGCTAGGAACCAACAATGCCTCGTACAGAACGAGGTTAGAATATTCATTTTCAACTTTGCATTGAGAGCTAACGTTTATGTTAAAGTACAGATTTCTAGTTACGCTAAGTCTGTGGTGAATGTGACAAATGGAGAATTTTCAGAAATCAGAATGACCGATGAACGGATATCGAAACGACACGAATAGAAATCCAGAGCGTTGTTATTTTCATTCATAACAACATAAAATATTGTCATAATTGTAACGTTTGTCTGAATAAGTTCTTTATTTTTTGAGAAGTTCCAACAGAGCCTAGTATAAATGTTAATTAAACATATTTTAAGGGAGGTAACTCGTACATATGTGAGGTTACAGCCCCTGAAAACCATGTTTCCTCTGCCATTAGATAGGATATTATATTAATAAGTCCCAAAATTAGACATTCTGACAGACGGCTATGCTGCTTAGACAGTTTCTCATTATCTGCCTGTCAACATTAATGTTTAAATCAACATTTGTATATTTGTCCTCCTTCTGCTACAACACTGCATCTATGATTGGTCCTATTGTGCACTAGTGATTTTGCCTTGGCAAGATGAATGGTCCTAATTGTCTTTGATTGTTGTTCAGTGAGGTAGCCACCAGCCACTTCAATAGACTCCACTTCAAAATTACTGTATTTGTTCAAATTGTTGTTGGGCTATAAATTAAACACAACGAACGAACCATTGTCATTCATCTGTCTTTCAGCTATACATGTGTCCAGTATTTTAGCACCCTCCCTGTTCATGCAACAGAATGAATGATTTGTTGTATGTTATACCTACTTAATTTGTAATAATATTTTTTGGACACATTTCTAAATAATTGTATTTGATGCTTCCTCTGCTGTAAAGTTTTAACACTTGAATGTTGTTTTTTATTAGGAGTTAAAAGGAAGAGAGACACCGATGAAAATCCTCCTAAAATAAACAGCAACAAAACTCAAAGCAAAACTGAACAGAAGGCAAACTCATGCTATACTCACTGGTTGATGAAATCGGAACCTGAAAGTCGAATAGAAAAAGGAGTGGATGTGAAGGTAATTCCTTCTGAAGTGTTTTTGTATGATCAACTGATCAGTAAGACATACCCAGCGATTTTGTATAGAAATAGCTGAAAAAAATATCACTTCTCAGACCAATGGACTATGAGAGGGTTCTTTCAGGTGACTAGTTAGTGGTAAGTGGAAAACGGTATACTTGTATGTGGGACAAGCTGTAGCAGGGCCTGTGTTGGCTGCTTATATATATTGACTGCATACCAAAGAAGGCTATGGGACAATCCGACAATTCATGATTGCTTATGAATTAGTGGAACAATCACCACTTTGGTGTCTGTTCAGTATAACAGGAATGCAGGTTAGTCAGGTGTCTTATTGATAGGTTTAGGACACACAAATATAGTAGTGGCAGGCATATATATAGGTAAGTCAGGTATAGATATGGTAAAGGAATCAGACAAGGTTGTGTTGAATGGTTAATTAGTCAGATGTCTGGTTAATGGGACAAGTTAATGTTGTGTGGTTTAAGGGACACACAAATCAATGATGGCAGGTTAGTCGGTTGTGTGGTTAAAGCGGCTATTACCTTAGAAGTTAACATCGGGAAATGGAGAATTTGGCTTATGAATAATAAATATATCCATAATAAAGCAATACATTCACCTATAATGTCAAATTTGTTGTTTTTGTGCATATTTTCGGTGTCAGAACATTGTTTATCTTGACTATTGTTTATAAACATGTTCAAGCTCGGTTTATTATGAAGAAAGCCAAGTGGGTCACTTGGCTTGTCACGTGATGAAGTCATTAACTTCCGCTGCAAAGAAAAAATGGACTACGAGGAAAATGTAAACAAGTCCACATGTCTTATGGTTGGCACTTGCTTTTGCACTTTTCTGCTAATTCTTGTTTGCAGTAAATTATTCTATAGTGTTATAATATATCATTTTTAACAATCAATCTTAGTAATTCGTTTTGTTTTGGCTTGTATGAGAATTGTATATGTCAATCGCGGGCACTATTCTAGTGGGGCCCCAAAAGGGATAATTACAATCAGAAAAGAAAAAACTCATTGTGCAGAAATGCACAGGAATTGATACTTTGTCTGTACACATTAATATATATTGTTTACCATTTAACATGTATCTATGTGTTTATTATGAAGGTTAAGTTTATCATCACGGTTGTTATTCTCACAGTAACACCAGTACCCCAATTGGGCCCCTTTAACTTTAAACTTGCCCATAACTATTGGGACCTTGACCATGACCTTTTGACCTATCAAAATCAACATTGGCCATAACTAATGTATCATAAGAGGTATAGCTTTCATTTTTGCCATGTGTGTTCCTTTTAGGTGGTACCAACATTTTCCTCATGCGACCTTGATTATGACCTTTGACCTACTTTTGAAAGTTAAAAAAAAATCAAACCACAATGATGACAAATGTGTTTCACAATGTGTGTTTGCATTTAGCACATGTGTTACACGTAGTTTTGATGTCCCACTTCAAAATTTTGTTGCAACTAGGGGCATGGTGTTTCAAAAACACTTGTTGTTTTCAAATGTTTGGTAGGGTTCTTTTTACACCTGAAGACACTCTTTCCCATTCTGGATGGTTGTTCAGTGAGATAGCCATGGCCACAAATTTATACAGTGAAAGTAAGGAACCCTGCCGCTAAATGACCCAGGATGGTCAACATTGCTTTATAATTTCGTAACAAAATATGCATAAAGAAAAAGATACAAAATTTTACCATGATCTTTCCAGACCTTAATCTTTGCTGCAGTGACCTTGACTTTTGTCAGTTGACTCCTTGTTTAATTCAGACCAATTTTGCTCCCTAATTTTACAGCAATGTATGCACCAGTAAAAAGATATAAAATTTGACCTTTACCTCTGACCCATTGACCTTGATTGTGGAAGGGAGCGAGAGAGTTGCATGCACATCTACTTATCGTCCTTTATATTGATATGAATTTCATTGGAATTAATTCAAAGGTTTAGGTATAGCAATGTTTTATGAACAGTATTATCATACACAATGAAATCTGCTGAAAATATTGTTTTTGTTTTTAGTTTGGCATAGAAGATCTGAAAGCTTGTGAGAATCAAACAGCCTGTTGGGATGGAGTAAGGAATTATCAGGTAAAAAGTGAGATAAACAGAAATTTAAACTATACTTAATCAGGCCAAGGACTAGAAGTAGAACTTTCTTTTTTTCTATAAAATATTTTTAAAAAGTGTTCCAAATTAAACTTCCCTCATTATAGATACATTGAGTAATACAGGCCTTTTGGGCCTCTTGTCTTTTAAAACAGCAATTGAAATGTGTACAAGTCTCTTGAGCCTCTTATTTTGTTGTACACTGAATGTTAGAGATTCTAAGTCTATAGTATGTTTTGTACATTCTTTTTTCATGTGAGTCTATGAAAGGACATCTATTTACTTATCTGTCAAAATTAATTTTTTAGGGAACATACAATGGTTTAAAAGTAAATGTCCATCACCTGATTTTTAGATGCATCTATCACCATGACCAGCTGCTAGCTAGGCTATTTATAGTCTGGACCAAATTTTACACCACAAAAAGACCCAACAATGCATAAATTCTGCGGAAAAGTTATAAAACATGTTTTGAAATTAGGTGATGAAGTAGTTGGTACATATTTACAAATACATGTATATAAGATCAAAAGATTAAAAAAGAAAACATGAAAATGTTATGAAATATTGTGTTTATATAACAACTTGGAACCATTTTATGCAGATATTACTATGCTTCTTCTCTGTTTGAAACAAAAATAGATTTTGTCTCCACTGTTCAATTTATCTCCTTCGTCCATGCTGTCGAAGTTTCATACACTACATATTTGTGATAAGGTCTTAAATTCCACATCATAACTAAAAAGATATTTGAATATTTTCAATTATTGTATGGAAGATATCAGGATTGTATAGATGAGCAAACATGTTTGAAAGAGTAACTAATTTCCGACGTAACTCTAAAACTGGAAGATTGTATTTTAGTTTCATGTTTAATACCGCCACAGACTTCCTATCAATATTGCAGTCAGTGGTACCATGCCCTCAAGATCACGTTTCTTACATGATGTCTCAAACAGATGTGTGAAATACTTCTCTATTTTTGAAAATTATTTGATAATAATGATTAACAGTGGCCTGAGGGTTGGGGCCAAAAGGGGTCAAATTGACTTGGATTTCAAAAATCTTCTCAACACCCAGGTATGGTAGAATCAAATACTCTTCATGGATGGAAGTATGTTAAGGTGTTTACAAAAAATGGGTCTTGCTTTTTCTTTCTGGGGAAGAGGTTAACTTTACTGTAATTTTTATAGAAAATTTGCATTTTTGAGCATAATTATTTCCCACAGGAAATAACTATGTAAGAATAATTAGTCTAGGATGACAGTTTGATGGTATGCAGGTATTGACACTGTCTTAATATCATCAGTGTCACAATTTCTTTTCATTACACTTGAAAGCTACTTACCCTTTGACCTTTATAATCAATATTGCTTATCTCAGGTGATAGTCAAGGCCACCAGGCCTTTTGTTTATGATAAATTTTGGTGGTAAACTTTGTAAGCATGGAAACAAATGTGATCATGAGTGGAAAGATATATTGCTTAAAGAAATGCGTAGATGCAAACAAAGCAGTCTTAAGAATACATTGTTGAATTAGTGCTACTAAAGCTTATGGTAGTAATTATTTTAATATCAGTAACAGTTCTGTAATTCTGATTTCTTATAATTAGGAATATCACAATTATGAGAACAGCTAATAGACATATGTATAAATGATTTTTTTTTCATTTCATGTTATAACACACGTAAATCAAGTATACACTATTACATTCTTGTGATAATTTTGTATGTTTATGATCGTGTGCAAGGATTTATCAACTCATTTTCCATTGAAATGAGACCTATTGTGCAGTCATTGTTGATTATGTGTTTACTTTTTGACTTAAAAAAGAAAATGTTCAGATTGTCTTGGATTTTGGTGCTTATAATTGATACATACAGATGTAATTGAAAGGAATAATGAAAACACTTCTCCTAGCTGCTGGGGTTTGAAATTAGCCTATAGCTTGAATTCTTAATGGTTTTTACCCCCACCTATACTGATGTACTGATAATTCTGGTGAGGCTGTAGTAACTTTTGGTCTTTAACCAGACACTCTACCACTATATAAACTAGAGAGAAATTCCCAAGGCTAGAAATTAAAGTGACCACGAGAACCCTCAACTTCTACAAGTTCTAGTATCTGTAGGACACTTTGTATATTTTGAGAACTGATACAGTGCAGTGCTCAAACAAGCAATGAACTGATGAAATATTGTTGTTTGTTATTGTGTGAGGTACACTAAAACATAGATTCTGATGTAGACATATCTAAGTTTGTTTTTAAAGGAAGAAAAAACATCAACAGTTAAATTGATAACCAATGTAATCGATCGTCATCAATGTTGAAATCTCAACCCATCCCTGTTAAAGAGTTATTGCCCTTTGTTTTC